AGTACTTGGCGTAACTTCAAGTTGAAAGGAAGACACCATGTGCACTGTATTGTTGACGCAATCGTGCACGTGAAATGTGTAATTCCAGTGCGCGCACGCACACTTAGTCCGAGAACGAGAAAAGTTTATTGCCCTTCTGTTTATACGTCCGATGCGTGTAAGGCGGGCGGAGCCAGAGCGACGCTGCAGCACATGCTGTGGAAGTGTACCGGTAACGCGCAGCAGTCCCCTACGAACCCGGTAGACATGGCGGTCTCGAACCACGAGGCGCGATGGGAGGCGGCTCTGCTCAGCCACGACCTTGCCGATCAACTGTGGGCCGTCCGGCATGCCCAGGATGCCGCCCGGGTCCAAGGACTCGAGGCCGTCACCTAGGCCGGGGTGCTTGTAGCCCCACCCCGCTCAATGACGCCGGACATGTTCAATAAAGTTTTTACTCACTCACTCACTCTGTATGAACGACACAACTTCTAAAAACGCGATGCGATGTCTACAAAGCCGAAAACAAAAGCTTGCGCGTGTTCTCACTTGACACAATGAGTAAGAACCGACGGAGCGTACAACTGAGAGCCCCGCGTGCAAATACCGTGCATTGTTGATCAGCAGCGAGGTGAACGTACGTTCGCGAAAAGTGACACATCCGGCAGTACACGCGATTCGCACCGAGTATGCACAGCAGCTGGGCATTGTACAGTTTTCCTTTAAAACACACACACACAAAAGAAGCAGCACTCGCCGCCGGCGCCGCTTCGAATAGACGTTTTTGGCGGAGAGGAGGATCCCCTTCTTTCTGGGCTGTTGCACGGGAGTATACAAAAGCTGACGTCACAGCTTCGACCCTGCGTTTTTTGGGGATCGCGCAGTGTTAACAGCCCAGAGAGGCTTATGGCGGCGCCCAGGGAGCCTTCAGTAAAAGGGTTTATAGCGGCGTGGCGGAAATCGCGAAGTGTTATAATCTGCTCCTAGTGTAGAAGCAGATAAACACTTCGTTTAGCAGAGAAGCAGATAAACCTTATAGTTCAGGATGATGGCGCAGAGTTTTTCAAAGCAGTGGGGTTTAGGGACAAGGAGGGCAAATTAGACGTTAAAGAAAGAGGTTATCTAATTGTTGGCTACAATCAATACGCCAGTGAATATTAAATTCTTCACTGTAAATGCCAGTCCTTAACCTCAATGTTTAGAGGGTAAAAATAAACTAATTTTTGTTCGCTAAGTATTACGGCTAGGTGGCGTTAGCCGCCACCCGATCTAAAGAGTACAGCCATATCAATGCATCCATTCATCCATGCGGCGGCTTCACAAATGTGACGTCATGGCCTCTAGACGGACCAGCGAGCGTAGTCACGCGAGCCAAGCGCCAGACCACTAGTGACAAGTCACTCAAGGAGTTTCCAGGCCTTCCGCACGGCGCGCCACCTGTACTCCATGTGACGTCACTGCTCCCCGGGCATGCGCAGCATGGCTCTCGATAAGTCACGCGAAACTGGCCAACCTCGACCAGTGTAGCTTACGCTACACAATCCAGGCAACTACCGCTGACGATGTGTGGCGTATGCGGAAGTTTTCTGGCCTTGACGAAGTTGACGTGCACGTTAAAGAACCCCAAATGGTCTAATTTCATGGATACCTTCACTAAGGCATCACTCGTTGTCATATATATCATGGTTCCGGGACGAAATACCTGCACAATTTTTGTGATCCGCACTTCCCATTTGTTACAGCGGCTAACGCTATAATCTTCGGCATACGCAAAAGCTGAGTGGGCAGATATGGCTGCTCGCTACCTGTGCTTTGCTCTTTCACGCGGTTCATTTGAAATCGCGTTATCTCAAAATTCTGCGGATTCGCTGCGGCGATGTCGCATCAGTGCGCGCGTTCAATCTGGGGGAGGGGGGTGATTCTTAAATTAAAAGAAGCTAAAAGTGAGCCCTGTAACTGTCTCTCAGGTGGAAGACAACTCAACAGTAGCTCACGTGCGATGGGGGTAAAGAGGGATCAAAAAGGATGGAGAGGAATTAAAGGTATCAAAATAGAGAGAGGCGCAGGGACAGCCACATACGGAAGTAAGGAGAAGATAGGAAAGATGGACACGGTCGCAGAAGTCCGAGGACGGGGCACCACTCAGCGAGAGCTCTTGTCGGCGCGGCGTCAGGAGACGGCGTAGGGCGAGCCAGTCGGCCAGAGGTGCACTGTCGTCGGAGATCGCGGGGGCACAAACGGTCGGCACGAAATCCAGCGAGCGATTCAAACGCGCTCAATTCAGCCTGTTTCACGTGTTGTGACAGCTATAGTGTTCGCAAGGTCGTTGAGTGAAATCGGTTCACGTTTGCTTGTGCGAAAATTTATTTTCGTGACACTACACGAAAATCAATCGACGAACTGATGTTAAATGCGATGTACGCTTTGAATGAATGTATGAGTCGTTTTTTTTTTCTTAGATGTAAAAATAAGATGATGGAATTGTCGTCGTTCTCTGGCGAAGGCCACCTCTGTTTAATAGGGTAGAAAAAGTAAGAGGGAGGGGGGGTATGGGCGATGTATTGCTAAGTTTAACAAACATGGGCAGCTTGTAACTACGAACTTGTTACAGCTGCCTAATGCGGCGTTATCGCTGTGAATTATTCGCATATTGGCTAAAACCTTTTTTAATTCCTTCTCCCCCTTTGTTTTCTTTACTTCTTTCAAACAGAACACTTAAGCGGCATTTATTAACAGTGATGTTTTTATTGGCATAGCCTTTCATTTGCGGGATCTGTGGTAACGCTTGTGGGCACGGTTATGAGCCACAGAAATCAATTAAGTCCCGCTAATTACCACCGGCTCACTAAAGATGATAGAAGACAACTATTAGACCAACAAACGGGCACGTACCACACAAATTTGTGGTGCTTATCAGACTATCGTCACCATAAGGGCGCCTGCAGTACATAGTGTTCCTGTAGTAAGGCACACATACAGTAGCTCTAGCAGTACACTTTCTGTCGCGCCGTCGAAAAATAGGTCGAGCGAAATCAGTTGTCAGTCCATTCGAGGCCTGACCACACGTACAGTTCGCAGCACGTCAGCGCGCGGCTTCTTGAAGCGGCGCCGTGCCTTCTCTCCACGGGAAGAGGGCCGAACACCGCGTCACAAAGCCGCGCGCTGACGCGCTGCAGCGCTTACGTGTGGTCAGGCCTTTAGTCCAACGAATGGCGTGCGCGTTATCACATAGCAACGTTTCTGGATTCCACATAGTCGCACCGCTATCACGTGATGCTCGGTAAGCTTAAAGAGTGCTTAATTAAGAGCCGCGATACGACATATCAGACCAAGCGAAGCATCTCATGCAATAAAACTATACTACCAAGGAACCACACGAATTGCGTTGTGCCCATGTGGTTCCTTCTTCGTCCCTGTTCTGCGCGCTAAGTTCTACTTTGATATTATACTACCACCTGTAACAAAGTTTTTAATAAAGAACAGGTATACAACATATATCTGGAAGACTTACAAAACGCAAAAAAAAAACGAATCCCGAAATGTTAACAGCGCAAGCACGTTTAAATAAGGAATGCGTTTGTGTAAGTCTCACGAGGAGAACTCGCTGTTTTGTCGGTGTCTTCGAAGCGAAGCTTGATTTTGTTGTTTTTGTTGTTTGTTTTGCCTTTACGACTATGCATTTACTGACGGCTGGGGTTGGACGGCACCTGCACACCGCTATGCAAGCAAATCCTAGCCGCGAATAAGCACACGGGAAGCGCGGTGAAGAGGTCATCAACACAGAAGTTCTACGACTCTCCGGGGGGAAACGTGAAGCCGCATAGTTGACCTGCCACTGACCCCAACAAGAACAGCTCGGGGGAGATGCACTCGCAGGGAGAATACTACATACCGTCGCGAGCACGCACCCAGAGACGCGACCCTGTAGTACAATGTACTAGTACCTGTAGTACAAGTTTGCACCTATTCTTCTTAGCAAAGAAGAATCGTAACCTGTCTTCTGTGTCTTTGCCACCATCCCCGCATGTCTTCGGTAGAGAGGGTGATGCGTGGGTCTCCTTGACCACTTGCCACAAAATAGAACAGGGTTAGGAGGGGGGGGGGGGGGGGGGGCTCATTGCTTTTCACTAAATTACACAATAAAACGCAGACGTGCACCTTCGTTATTCGAAAGTCGCTGGTTCGGTCCCTTGCCATCGACAAGTTATCTTCTCGCCCGCTTTTCTCACATCCCCCGATCCCTCGCTCACGTCTCGCACACACACGTGGACAATCGAATTTCTCCCCGTTTTTCGCATACTTCAAGGTAATGAACATTAAGCACTTCATCAGCCAAGGTGGCAGCGGGTATGGAGATTTAGCGTACGCCAAGCTAACGGGCGTAGCGTTGCGGGCGTCACTGCACGGTACGCTACAGTGGATATAAAAAATTAGATTATAGAAATGTTTATGTGTGTAATCCTCAAATTTACACAAGAAAGCTTAGACTCAAGCCCTTGTAAACTTGAAAAAACTTGTAATGCTCTACATTGCAATGTCAACGAAATGGACAACGACCAAATGCCGCGCGACTACATTTTTATGCAAATCTTGAAGGCTACGGTTTCGCTTGTTGGGTGCACAGGAAGTAATTTAGAAGTCTGATAAAACTACCGTAGACTTCAAATTTAAATCCAAGGTTTCAAACAAATACTCTACGGAACTTTTAATTCACTTTTTGAGAATATTTTACTCCACACTTATGTACACCGTATTTCAAAAGTAATTGTATGTAATGTGAACTGTCTATGCAGGTCTCAAAGGCTATACATAAACTCACATTTTTTAACTACTCAAGAAAAAAGTTTCAAAAGGCACAAACGTATTTTATTTTCTTCACAAACTGCGTTGATGCATGCAGCTGTAGGAAGCTCTGCTGCAACTTTGCGCAGAAATGTAGAACGAAATAGTTTGACACGAAGACGCTACGCGCGTTCAAGCATTATCATCATCAATAAATTCAGGTGACGTCTGCCGTCGTAATAACAAACGTTATTTTCACCGTTGCAAGGGTTGCTATTTTCTTTGTTTTCGCTAGTAGCGCTGGTAGGTGTTCTGTGCGCGAGCGAAGCGGTTGGCAGGAGGTTGCACCCGTTGCACTTGATCCATTTAGGAATCAGTTGCGCGGAACTACTTCGCTGGTACAAAATTCGCCGTCGGGGTGTTTGGACACCGACAATGAGTGGTTTCCTGGAAAGTGGAAACGACAGGAACAAAACTAGGATGTTCAAGGATCGGCGCAATTTCAGTGAGTCACCCCTTTCCATCGCATCAGCTGGGCGCTTGACAACAAATGCTAAAACTGCAGTCCACGCGGAGCTTCTGCTCGCGTCGCTTAGGCAGCCTCTTTTGAAACACTCACCGCATGCTTTCCGCGCTGTTTTTACAACGAAGTGCGTGGCGTAATTCACAGGGACGCGCTGTACCCGTGACAACGCGTTCTGGGTTTCGATATGTGGCTTGCCTTTGTGAGCGTCTCTTTGAGATGCAGTCGTTAATTCGCTTTCGAAGTTCAGCTCGATGTTTCGCTCGACGAGTTCAGCTCGATGATTTCAGCTCGATGTTTCGCCTTACCTGGCCATGCTTCGCTGCACCTGACACGAGTCTCCGTTTATTGCGTAGTTTCGCTAAATTAACGTCGTTTTTTGGACGCAGTTCAACGCAAGAAGGATGTCGACGCAATACGCGAGGAACACCCGTCCAAAGTCCCCGTAAGTTGAGCGACATAGCGATAATAAATCTATATTTGTTGCATAGCGTACTGATTACGCAACGAGTGTTTTGTGTCGCGTGAATGTTTTTTGCGTGCCTGCAGATCATCATAGAGCGTTACCCGGGTGAAAAATTGCTGCCCGTTCTCGACAAAACGAAGTTCTTGGTTCCCGACCACATCACGATGGCCGAGCTGGTGAGGATAATCAGGTACGAGGCCGCATGTCAACACCATTGGCATGTCAAGTGTGACAGCATGTCGTCGCTTGAGTGCCTTGCGTGGGTGCAGCTAAGGAGAAGTCCTACGATCGCGACGCAGCTTGCGTCGCATTTTCCTTTCCGGTTTTCGTTGATGTGTGTAAACAAACTGAAAGGTAAAGTAGCGATAAATAAATAAAGGAAGAAGCCATGTTGCGCGTCTTGAACATATATGAAAGCGCTGGTGATTTGTAGTCGACGTTCGTGTGAACATTTCAGCCGAATATTATTTCTCTGCATGCGTCAGACGCTCGCTCTGCCTCAGCTGACTATTCACCAGGCAGGAGCAAGCAAACGTGACGGGTCTTAAAAGATTGCATGAACATTTCTTACAAACGCACACCTTTGTAAGGTCTGCGTTTGGTGCCCATTGAAAATATGGCACACTTGTTGTACCATTTATTGGGAGCATATTTTCGCGCATACGTTGTAATGCTCTGTAGACATCAGTTTTACCTCAGTGATACGTCTGAAGGTGTCCATTAGGCCGTTTTTGGCTTGTTATACTGTTTTTTTTTTATTGTTCGTTTCTGCCATAACTAGAATTAGCTCAACTACGACACTGACTCAATCAAGTGTAAGTTCTAAGTTGCAGAATTATTTTAGATGCATTGTTTTCAAACAACAACAAATACTAGGCATAGAATTGCTCGTACTGCTGATAACTTCAGTAGAAGTGAATTACTCGAAATATGGGACATATCTTGTGTGGAACGTCGGCACCATTCAAGGAGGCATTTGAAATGCTGTACATATATTCTGTTTTTATCTAAAAATAAGCTGATGAGAAAAAGTTATTTTTCTCGTGTTAACAAAATAACCCTTTCACAAATCCAAAGGCTTCACTTTTGCAGCGAGAGGACGATGGATCAGCGATAAAATGCACAAAAAGAAAATGCAGGTGGCGTCACCTCTTTGAAGTACTCGCTCACTACCTTAGCAAAATGCCAGCTCCACGCACCAAATGCTGCAAATCTGCACTTCACCTGTGAAAAATAGCTGTTAAAGCAGTAATTATTTTTTTCTTGCCTTATATAAGTACTACACATATCAGCAATTAAATTTCTCGTTATTGCGTGAAACATTACGTTTGGCGATGTTTTGTAGTTCCTGACAAAATTTACCCTTATGTTCAAACTTTGAGCCTAGGACCAGCAAAACAAACTTTTTCATTTGTTGTCTTTATGGAAAATCCCACTATCTGAAACACTCAAGAAGTGCTTGACATCATGAAAATGAAGTACTTGGATGGACAATTTATGCAAATTATACTTGGATGGGACAGTGGGGCAGTGGGCAGAGCCAAGATGTTTTCCTAGGTTCTTCACAGAGTAAGGAGCCCAGAGAGCAAAGATATTTTGGGCCAACATAGCCTAAGCACGTTGAGATCCATGACATTGCTAACATGACATTGCTATGTTATGAGAGACATATTTCAAAATAAAACTTGACGTGAGATTTCAAAATAAAACTTTTTTTTGTCTATTACTAAAAATATGATGGTGAAATAACTCATTTTTCAAATCATGAATTATTCTTTTAAATTGATTCATTGTGTAATCTTAATGTCTCTTTAATACCACACTGCATATTACTTAATATTGCTGTCTTTACATTACACACGCATTCACATTTTATTCTATGCAAATCATGCAGTAAGAGACGTTTGCACAGACAACCAGTGCTGCCTTCGCAGCGACGAGTGGAAAAGCAGACTCTTAATGCGTCGTGGCATTGCTCATGGCACGGCAGCACAGGGCGTCCATTTTTGTGGCATAAAAGTAATTGCGTCTTATGCAAAAATGGTCAGTTTTCTCCTTCAATGTTGCTTAACTAGTACTGACATTAAATTCTGAAAGCAATATAACTTATGGCATAGATTTTTCTGGACACGCAAGCATCATCTGCAAAATGTCAATGGCCGATATAACTGAAAACATACTTAAAAGGAAGCTGAGGCACAAAAAAAGGAGAGAGAGAGAGAGACTTTGGAGCCTGTAAACACAGTTTGATCGCTGCTGAATTCGAAAAGCGATGCCAGAGCTCTCAAAAATGAATGCAAATAGCACTCTTGGGCGAAAAACGGAGGCCACGGGGCTTCTTGATATGCTGAGCAACGCTTTGAGATCCTCGGTGGGCCTGTTTATTGATATGCTGAACATCGCTTTGAGATCCTCAATGGGCCTGGTTATCTGCGTCAGCAGCACTGCTCAAGTGTGTCGACTTCAGTCTGCTCTGGCAACGACACAACACGAGTTAGCCACATAGGCTGCAGTCGAAGATACGAGAGAAGCTTGTTCAGGTAGTGCTTGGCTGTTTGTAGGAAAGGAGCGCACATTTAATGGGCTGGTGTCTTTGTTGGACATAATATTATTGAGACCTAACAGACAATCATGCCAAGGAATGTATAGGGGACAATATTAAAAGTAAAGGTAATTTAAATGTGAAGAGAGGAAAGTGGACAAAAAGTAACTTACCCTTGGCAGGGACCAAACCTGCGGCCTTCGAATAAAGGGTCTGATGCTCTATCAACTGAGCTACGACGGCGGCTATCCCCCTCATTCACTTTATGGCGTATATATGTGCATATAACGTGGGAGCGTCAGTCAGCGCAGCGAGTGTGGAACACTTTTTTTAATATGCACTGATGGGCTTATTGGCTAACCATAGTCTTTTGATGAAGTAGCACACAAAAGCAAACACACACACACAAAGGATGCAAACATAAGCGCAAACTCGGCACTTGTGTTCGCGTTCTTTATGTGTGTGTATTTGTGTTTCCTTCTGCGTGCTGCTTCATCAAAAACGTCTTATTTGCCTGCTTGGCGTCACATTCCACGGAACTTATTACGGGCTGGCAGCTGACCAATAATTCCTTGTATGCTACTAGAAGGCACCAAGTCTGCCAGAGCGAGACCCTCTGTATGAGAAAAGGAAAAAAAAGTGTACATTTAAGGGCTTGGTTTTTTTTTTCTGTTAGACACAGCATTAATGAGATCCAACAGACAATCATGCCATAGTATGGGGGACATCATACTTATTATCTTTTTGACATCATTATTTCAGATATTGTAATTCAGCTCCATAACTCAGCTTTGTTAGGCTTACTTGAGCCTTCATCGCATTAAGAGTCCTCTCGCGCGATTGGGACCACTGGGTGGCGAGAACATTTCATCGGTCCAGCGTGGCTCTGCTAAAGCAGCTAAAGATGAGGTACCGTTTCTACGCCCACACTTTCGGCACACTTGTGTGGGTGCAGCAAAACAAACTTTTCGTTCACATATTCTAAAGCTCCTGCTGCAAAAACTGCAAAAAAAATTGATGACATTGTTGACAATAATGTTGGGCCTTGCTAACCACAAAGTTTTATGGAATTCTAAAACCTCGTGGGCTTCCCTTCAATGAATTTTAAAGTAAATGCTGTGCAACTCCAGGATGAAGTACACCACCTCCAGACATTGACAGCAGCTTGCATTGAACGTAAACAACGATCATCCACCTGCATCGCGAGTTTGTGTTGGCTGCGACACTCCTTACGAGCACTTTCTTAGTGACCTTTTTTGACATAAAAAAGGGGGCACCTCCTTCATGAATGTGCATGCGAGAGCAAAGGCTGACAGGCAGTGCACTTTTAAGGGGTCCTGCATGTTTACAACATCAGAGGAAGGAGTATGGCACCACACAATTTTCTGTGCTGATCTGGCCAAGGTGTCCATATAATTAAATGTCACACACTCAAGCAGGCTAGATTTATAGCTTTGATGAGTGGGTCATTGACTCCTTATTTAAACAGAAAAAATAAGGTATAAAATTTTAGTGACAGTGCTCCTTAAAAGTACGATGTGAAAATAATTAGACTGTGCAGTGCTTGCCTCTCAACATTGCCGTTTCTGCATTGCAGGCGACGCATGGAGCTGCATCCGAGCCAAGCGTTCTTCCTGCTCATCAACCAGAACCTTATGGCGCCCGTGTCGGCCACCCTGGGAGACCTCTACAATGAAGAGCGGGACGAGGACGGTTTCCTCTACCTGACATACGCGTCACAAGAAGTCTTTGGCTGAAAATTGCACATTTAACTACTCCCTTTCCCCCCAGCCCCCACAGAGCGTTTAATAAATCTACTAACTTTCATTTGCTTGCGCAAATTTTACCAACCTTTGCGTAAACGTGTGTCCTTTTGGTGCCTGCAGAACGGTGACGTGAAGCGGCAGATTACATTTGTCAACAGAGTCCCTGTGCACTGTCCATTTAGGATGTTAAATCCTTATTTTGTGCTAAAACCATAATATTATCCTGACGCATGCTGTTGGGTGTGAAGCGTGTGGACTCGTTTCGATCATTAGTTTTTTAACAATAGTTGACTTGTTTATAACTAATCTCAACCTTCAAATGACATGGAGAAGAGTTGTATGCTGGGATTTAAGTGATCATATGGTCTTAGACCTGTTTTGCAAAGCAAATGTTGTCATGCGTAGAAAGTATGACATCTACTTTCAAGCAATCGCACAAGCCATGTTATAAAATTTTCGTGCAGATCTAGCCAACGAAAACTAGAACTTGGTCACTTCTGAAGAAAATGTATACAGACTGTTTCTACAAACATTCTGTGCTATATATAAATGGCACTTTTGTTTACAAAGAAAACAAACACTCGGAGAGTAAGGAAACCATTGATATCATTCGAGATGCACCCCCCCCCCCCCCCCCAGGGGCTCTGCAACACTTTTCGAGCATGGTCATAAAAACTGCACAATCAATTATAGCTGCTCCCGAGAACAGGCGAGCCAAATATTTAGTGCAGCTCGTGGCCTGGAGTTCACAAAAAATTATAAAAGTCTGTTGAAAATTTTTTATATCTCGACAAATGAGTGAAGACGCTCAAAAAACGCTCTTAGAAGGCCATCTATCAGCCATTGGCTGATTCGAACATGGTGCACTTGGTCGTTACAGAGATTGCTGCGACTTGTGCACGCTCTGAAGAAGCTGCGTATTTGAAAAAAAGAAAAAATTGTTCAAGCTCACGAGGCGTGAGTGATGTATTTTCTTTGCCCCTCCCATCCCTTCCTGTTTAGCTCTTTGGAAACAGGAATGTTCTTGGAAACAAGAATGTTGTGTTCGAAATTTTTCTGGATTTTACCTAGTCTTTTCACAAAGTAAATGATGACATTTTATTTTAAATTTATGGAATAAGAGGCCATGCCCTGAAATTAGTCAAATGCTACCTTTCCTCCCGTAAACAACTTGTTTCGATGGCCGGATTTAGATCGACCATGTGAACTGTGGCATGCCACAAGGCAGCATTCTAGGACCGCTACTTTTCGATATAGATATTAACGATCTCATCACTATTGATGATAATGCTTGCTTCATAATATATGCGGTTGATACGACTGTATCTTTTGACGGGCATAACTTTTGACGGGGAATCTGGGAACACAGGAGAGCAATTTCTTTTTAAAACTTGAGGAATGGTGCGACACAAATGTGCTGAATAATAACGTTAATGAATTCAAGGCAGTCTGTTTTCGCCCCCCCCCCCCAAATGTGATTTTACCATTAGCCTAATATTCAGAAAATTAACTATAGGAATTATTCCGTCTTTCAAATCACTAGGAGTATATTTTTCAGAACACATGCTTTGGGACCCAACATATTCACCCTATCGCCACAAAAGCCTCCCAAGCTATAGGTTTGATATTGCGACACACATACGTACTCCTGTATAAAATAAATGTGCTTTTGTATAACTCATTTCTTTTTTTTATATCTAAATTACTGCCCATTAGTGTGGGCCACCACAACCACTACAAAATTAAAACAGATATCTGTCCTACAAAAAAGAATTATTCATATTACATTTAATATACCTTATGGAACTACTATTAAGCACCTGTTTAACAAACATAAGATCACAGACATATTCCATCGACATGCTTACAAACTGTTATACACTTAAATCGTTATAGTTTATAACAAGCTTTGCGTCCTTGCATCTGTTTGAATCTCCGTATCCACTCCGACAGATGACAGCTTGGATGTTGCCTACTGTATGAACAGACTACAGTTACGAGATGATTAATTACAAGTTACCGCTTCTTCTAAATGAACTGCATGACACGAAAATTTTCCTGAGAAACATTTCTAATAGTAATCTACTTAAATTTGCAATTGGTCTCTCTGCCATGTAAACTATTCCCCAACATTGCACCTTATGTCTGTTTAAGTGTTGACACATCTGATAAATTGCTGTCCACTGACGCTATTACATACTTTATGTTTATATATCATTACCAATTTGTTATTCTATTTTTATTGTGCTAAATCCTTGCCAGTGACATCTCTGTGTGCGTACTTGTAATCTTGCATCCTTCATAGATTTGTATAACACTTATGCCGCAAAATGAAACGCGTGGAAATGCGCTTCCCCCATTCTTCTCCTTCTGCGTTGGCTTTTTTACTTTATAGTTTTCGTCTTTCTCTCTTTTTTGTGTTACTCTCTCGTGGTCACAGATTATTTCAATATAATGGTGTTTGCTGCTGCTGTTTACTGTAAAAAATGCGAGACCTTTGTCAAGCGTCTCTCGCTTTTAGTCTCACACCTTCAATCAAACTTAATTGTATAGATGTAAATAAATTATTATTATTATATTATTATCATGTGGAGCTCTTTTAATGTGCTCAAAACTAAGCACAAAAGCTGAGTTAACATAAGTGGTACAGGGCACTGCAAGTTGCAGAATTCAACAAAGGAGTAACTGTTTGCAATTATAGTTACGTATAAAATGTAGTTGTGTTGTCATGAATTACAACAAGAGTCCCCACAGGGGCGTCTAAGCAAGGAGGCATTCGGTGAATGGCGTCGCCACGGACCTGAGCCAATGGGGGGGTTTCAATCCCCTCCCACGACCCAGCGTGCGTGGATTGGTTGTGTCCGAGTAAAACGGGGGTCCTCGTGTTTGAGCCGATGTCGAATGCACCCTTGTGACCGTATTTTGATGATGTACGTATGTGGATGATGTGCAGGTCGGCTGTAAATCTTGTAATATCCATGTGAGTGGCAGGTCCAGCTTTGTTTGAACAAGGTTTCGAAATGGGCAGATGAAAACAGCTTCAGACTTGATAACAAAGCATGGTAATTTTACTTTCCAGAAAGAGAGGCATTCACCGCAACCCTAACATTAGCCTACATGGTCAACATCTGCCTGCAAAATGGAGCACAATTTCCTAGTCCTCATTCTTGATGTTGAATTTCGTTTCATGTCTCACATAAAATACATAAAGAACAAGTGGGTAAAAGCTATGAATATTCTAAATATATTGTCATGCACTACATACGGTAGTGACAACACTTGTCTCGTGAATCTGTACAAGACTCGTACGCTCGCGCCTAGATTATGCGGCGATAATTTACCAGTCTGCAACACCAAGCGCCTTGAAGATGCTTGATCCTGTCAACCATGTGAGCATTCGCCTTCCTACGAGTGCTTTTCCCACTAGCCTCGTAGAAAGCCTGTACGTTGACTCAAACAAGTGGTCGCCCCACCTGAAGAGATCTTGCATGTCTTTTGTCTATTATCTCAAAGTGCCCGCAGACAAGGAAAGCCCCTTGCCCTACACAATCGGGGATCTGTCAAGTTCTGTCCTATTCGACCACCATCCTTTGTTACAGCCCTACACCGTGCGAGGGGCCTAGCCGAGGAAACTGGTGTGCCAGTTTTTTAACATTGCCTGGTGGCTCCCGCTACGTGTCTCCCGCTGTGGCAGTGGCAGATTATAGATCGTGATGCGTCTTCCATATAAGTTGCGAAGCAGGCGTCTATCGCACATATCCACACATACTTTCTGGAACTTCAGCACAAATACGCTTTTCCTGAATTCTTTACAAGTGCCTCAAAGGCTCACACTTCGTCATACGATGTGATCGGACAATCCTCTCTGTATGCTGGCATTCTGCATCCTAATACAACCACCTTCAAGGCAGAAGCTTATGCTATACTTATGGCTATTAAACAATTAAAACTACAAAAGGCAGCAATATACTGTATACCAACTCCCTGAGTACGGTAAAAGCTCTGAAAACGTTCTGAAAACACAAAAACTCCATTCTTGTCTCGCTTTACTCACTTTTATGCACAGCCTACATAAAACAGCACGTCGTAGTCTTGTGGGTGCCAGGGCAATGCGAGACACACGAAAATGTCTTGGCGGACCAGTTAGCTACATCCGTCAACGAAACTGCAGCCAATACATTGATAGCAATCCCTGTGCTTGACTTGAAACCTTTTCTCCAATGAAAGCTCAGCGCCTATTGGCAGAGCAGATGGAATTAAAATGCACATCAAGCGGCAACTCGGTCATAAGCTGTGAGTATCAAAATCGCGTCACACAGAAGTTACACTTACAAGGCTAAGGACAGGACACAGGCACAGTACACTCTCTTTCTTACCTTTTGTCTGGTGGCAATCCACCTTTGAATCACATATGTGGTGAAGAACTTGCCATACTTCACATCTTAGTCCTGTGCAATGAACCAGACATGCTCTGAAATGCCATTTCTCTTTACCCCTGACCCACAGCAAATATTACTTCACTGATCAATGTTCATCGGTAGGGATCCGCTCTTGAAACACATCATTGTTCCTATTTTTAAGATAAGTACGTACCTTTCATGTGATATACCCAGGCATTCCATAGCACAACCTCTGAAAATAAGTCGGCGCTGTTGTGGCTACATTAAAAAAGCACCTGCCTCGTGGCCCTTAGATTCAAGGGTGGTGACGAGGTCTTTGTGCTGATGCCGTATATTTCCACCATGGTTTTATTATCACGGCCTTTGCCATCCACTTTCACTACATACATTTCACGTCACTTTCATGGTTTTAATACTTCCATGTTTTACCCGCCTTAGCATGAGGAATTGTGAGGTCCTTATGCAGCCACTTGCCGTAATCATCATTCACGTCTCTTGTTTCATGACTTGGTGCTCTTTGGCCAACAAATGGCCGTTGCCACAAAGCACCAATCATCATCAATTATAGCACGAGTGTAGTAGAGAAGGTGTTACCTTAAGAGACAAAAAGAGAGCAGAGTGGATTAGGGAACAAACCGGGGTTAAGGATATCATAGTTGAAATCAAGAAGAGGAAATGGACATGGGCCGGGCATGTAGCACGTAGACAGGATAATCGCTGGCCATTAAGGGTAACTAACTAGATTCCTAGAGAAGGCAAGCGGGTTAGGGAGAGACAGAAGGTTAGATGGGCAGATGAGATTAAGAAGTTTGTGGGTATAAATTGGCAGCAGCAAGCACAGGACCGAGTTGACTGGCGGAACATGGTAGAGGCCTCTGTCCTACAGTGGACGTAGTCAGGCTGATGGTGATGATGGTAATAGAGAAACTTATGAGGCTAGTCTATTGTTTTGACATCATTTCATGTCCTTTATTGATTCAAAAAAAATTGTAGAAATAAAGGAAGGCAAATGCTCTTTTCTTATGAGCTATGAAAATCTTCACAGCTTAGTAGAAATTTTGATTGGTTACCCTAGTTTCTTAGATAAACCTTTGTATTGCACTAAGACTAAACATGCATATGCGAGAGGAAATGGTGCAACGATAACATATATGATCACTTTGCACAGATAACTGTGGTCCTCTCGCTTGCATCTGCATCTGGGTTATATAAAGCCGAGCACTTGTAAAATTGCTCGGGCTTGGACTTCCTGAAAGGTGTTCCTGGTAGGGCTCATGTAAACGACAAGTGCTCGTCGCTGTTGAGCAATTGCCATATCATCCAATCGCTTGACCGAAATTTGGTGTAGTGTCAAGTTTGAAAAGTAGAATGCAAAGCGTTTTGAGCACGTGCCACTGCAATGCTGCTCTTCGCATGATCTTAAGCATTATACCATATTTTTCACCAAGGTTGAGTGCTGAACCCTGTATTGCCTCTTAAGCCTTTTCATTAATATTGTAATGAATTTTCGTGTGATAAAAAAGTAATTTAATTGTGGTGAGCATCATCTCGTAAATGTAATTAGAAAACCACAATTAATAGCACTAGTTCATTACATTCACAGTCTGACAACTTTGTGAATTGAACAATTTTGTGAATTTTTAATGGTGGCACAAAATTGGAACAGCATTGGTGGTGTCGCTTAAATTCATGATGCCAAAGTAATCTACTAATTGTTGTAATTAGTTAATATTGTACATCTCATTAGTTACTGTTAATGGTAGTAAGCCACTGATAACAAAAAGCTACACACTGTGGCAGCGTATATGGCAGGGAATCTCGCTTCTAAACACAAGAACATGGGATCAATTCTCAGCCACAACAGCTGAATTTCGATAGGGAGAAATTCAGGAACACCACATACTAGGATTTACATGTGAGCTTAAAGCAGAAGTGGTCAAAATTAATGCAGTGTCCCCCACTACGACGCGACGCATGATCACATCATTTTTTTTGGTACTTCGAACCAATATATTAAAACAAAAAGCAGATTGCTTGCAAGGCAGCGTGTATACTGAACTCTGATAAACTGAAGGCAACGGCTTGCAAGTTCGCATTGTATGAGCCTGATGTTCGATTTTACAATGTTTAATATTTGAAGGGACGACAAAACTGATTTGCCGAATTTTCACTTGTAACTATTATATAGGAAATGAGCCCTCCCCATTGTCGTCGGTCAATTTTTTAGCGCATGATGGTATAGGAGTGTTATGTCTTTGAAAGTTTTTGTAGTACTGCATGCGGTTACATGTAGGTTGGCTCAGTCAGTTGAACAGTAAAAGCATAAGCACTTTATTTGCTTGGCCTTCTTTTTTTTATCACTTTATTATTTATTGCACTAAGTGATGAACCTTGGAACATGCCCGTAGAGCATCACTCGTGGTGGCACAAACAAAATGCTGTCGAGGACAAAGCTTTGAAATAAATGTTTTCTCTTTTTCAAAGATGTGAAAAATGCCCTTGAGTAAAACATGCAAGATTTTTTTTTAATACCGAAATGAGTTTCTAGCTTAAGTACCTAAAATTTCCTTTTTAAGTGCTGTTTACCATGTGTAGACATGTACCCGTTATGAAAAAAAATTAATGATTAGATGATTGACCGATTGATTTCTTGGTTGACTGCTCACCTTTATAAAACTGCCTCAACACTGGCAGACCGGCCTTCAAACCTACAACTGATACAACAGCAAAAAAAAATGGTTCATTGCAGCGAAGAAGAAGTTACGCAAGGACAAGCACGACGCGCTTAGCAGCCAAGTCTTGACAAATGCTGGTACAAGAAGCTAAATTTTGTTGTACAGAGCACCTCATGTCATCTTGCAATTGTTTTGGAAATATGTTTAAGCACAGAAATTGTCTTGTACCTGGTAGGGTATCAAAAATGCTTTTAGATGTTTTAGCGGAATAGTGTGGCTTGGCTGGGGCCACGCATTCTTAGCGTACAACTTGGCTTGTAAAGCCAATCAGAATGCAAAGCCACTGGTGTCAATGTCGCATGACCAAATGTCGATTACAATGCCAAAGAAGCGCTGTGTGACGATACCAGGAGGTGGCTTCTCCGGTCAAACAAAAACATAACTGATTTGCTTTTGGTGTACCTACTTGTGCCATGATATTGCCGTATCCTGTAGTGCCAGACGTGTTGAAAGCAATATGCTTCATTTCACTTGCAGGGCCCCTTGATACCAGCCGACTCTCGGTTACTAACTGAAGTCTTTTAAAAAATGTAACTGCAGCTTGAACGGAACAAATGCCTGTAACATGATTCGTTTCGTAATTATAACGCTGCACTCTTGTATTTACCTCTTGATAAAAGAGATTCCTGTAGAACATAACTGTATAAGGAACACAGCACAAGTATAATAAGCCCTCACTAAGCCACCTCAGCTGCGATTAGGACCTCAAACTTGCACGCTAGGCTGGCTGTTATGTTCAAAAAATGGAATGCACTGTCGTGTGTGCTCGAGTAAGCAACAAAACCAGCGATATGCCTGCTAAAAGGAGCTTGAACTGCCCCTGCATGACTTGTAGTCTTTAAAGGAATCAGATGAAATTTCTTAGTACCTGTGCAGTAATTTTTTAAAAAGTGTATTGCAATGCGCGTGTTTCAGTGGCAAGACGACAAGGAAAGTTTTACGCACCCTGATCTCGAGCGTAAAGTTTAAGTCAAATCAAAAACCTCTATGCAGGTTTGCGATACGATGCACAAATATACTTGTGCGTTCCAGAAAAGCTGGGAAATAGTCGATTCAGGGAAGAAGCAAGGTTTGGCCAAGATGCGCACATAAGCAGGAGTTTTTCTCGTCTGTCAAGGTAACTAGACAGCAACACAGCAAGTTATAACTGTAAAACATCTATATTATCAAACAATGACATTTGAATTTCGTATAATACCATGCAAGTCTGTGTGTAGCTTTCCAAGATATCTTCGTGCAAATTGAGAGAGAATGCAAAGGAAAGATCGTGGTCAGAAGAAACACCAGCTTTCTTGTTGACGTTGCGGACACCCAATGTACAGGATGTAGAATGCAAAGAGGGGCACAAGTTGGTATGAGCAGCGATCAAAATCTGAAAACAGTCGCTCTTGCAGAATGAAATTCAGGCTGCTGAAATACTAGAAATAACTTTTTTTCATTTATTTATTCAGCATTCCATGGCTCTTCGGCCAACATTAAATCCTCATTTCTTTCGCAATGAATATGTGCCTTCAACTTGAGGCACATGTTCAAACTTTTTTTTTAAACCTTGTGCCACACTAACCTTTATGAAATTAACGGTAAATAAACCACTCTTAGCAAGTTAGAGATGTTCTCACAGGTGCATCAGAACAACTTGTAACTGTTTTCATGATGCTTTATGATCCTTTGTTTCCAGTAACCATACGACAATCGGCAATGAATATTAGGCCATGTTAAAATGTGCATTGGAAATATAAGCTACAAATGAAGAAACACAAGAATGGCTAACACTTGTGGTCCACAATGGCATGTGTTCTTTTTTCCCACTACAGGCCTCTGTGTTACTTCTGTAGTACCACTCGTACTCTTAAATAAATCATATTTCATTTTTATTTAGGCTTGTTGAAGAATCTTAATTTATGAATGGAACTTGAAAAGCCTACGTTTCGGTGCAATAATAGACTTTCTCCATAAACACGTAACATAAATTCACTGTACATGAACGTATAAAGCCTATAATGCAACACTGGCACTGTGGCACTTGAAAATATGACCTAAATGTACGCACTTCATATTGCTAATTGATGTACAGTGATGCATTAAAAAATATTTCGCGCTGAAGTCTGCTAGCGAAGTCATCCCATATAAAATCAACACTAGTTCAGCATTGTGTCATGCTGGCACAGTTGTTAAGCGTGTATCTGGGCAAACTTATCTACAAGGAGCATGAACGGTTACCATGTAACGTACTCAACTCAACAGAACTGCCTCGTTAAAACGATGTTGCAGAAGATAAGAAGCATACGTGATCACCATGTTTCTAGTCCGGCACCTTGGAAGGCGGTAGAACCCTTTGTCCATGCAAGAATGCTGTTGCAGCTGTGCACCAATCTATGGTCACTTCACCAAGAAATTTCCCACACCCGACTAGTCCTCAAGCAATGTCACTGTCATTCCACAACCTTACTCGCTGAAGACGAAGCATCTTTTTGGCCCTTAACCAGCATTTCGGATTTCAAATAGTTCACGATGCCTTGCACCCAAGAATCACTTCCATACCCCGGAATCTGCATCCAGTTGGAAGTTCTATGCCTCTTCAAAATGTGCTCGCTGAGCAATGCGGCATAAGTCTCCTTGTCCAGGTGGCACGCCTTGTAAGGTGTTATTTTGCTGCCCGAATTCTCCACCGTGTCGACGACCCACTGAGCCATCGATGCAGCAGTGCGGTCGTCTATGGCTCGCACACTGATGTTGGGGTTGAAGTAGGGCATCCAGGTCCCTTCCTCAAGCCTGGCTGAGCTACATGCTACGGGGCACAGGTGGCGGGTGGCTCCCGAAACCGGCTTGGTTGCAGTTGCCTTAGAATTCTCTCCAGCAAGCTTGCTTGCATCTTTATCATGTTTTTTTACAACTGGCTTCGTTCCGGTTCTTTCGTTTTGCTTCAGCTTAGACCCTGAAGATTTCTTTTCTTTTTTTAGTTTCTTCTGAGGTATATTACTTGTTTGGACAACTTTTTTTTCTGGACGACGCTTCCCAGGTGGCGCTATGTCCGCCAGTCCTTGTTTAGGCCGTTTATTACCTTTAGTGTTTTGATTGGTCTGTTCTTGCTGCGGATTTTTGTTGCCAAATGATGCGTCTTTTTTCCGCTTTTGCTTAGAGACTGTCTTGGTTTTCACACGGGCTCCTCCGATCTGGTTCTCGTATTTATGTTTATCATGTTTTTTTACAACTGGTTTCATTCTGGTTCTTTCGTTCTGCTTCAGCTTAGACCCTGAAGATTTCTTTTCTTTTTTTAGTTTCTTCTGAGGTATATTACTTGTTCGGACAACTTTTTTTTCTGAGTGACACTTCTCAGGTGCCGCTACGTCCCCCAGTCCTTGTTTAGGCTGTTTATTACCTTTAGTGTTTTGATTGGTCTGTTCTTGCTGCAGATTTTTGTTGCCAAATGATGCGCCTTTTTTCGGCTTTTGCTTAGACACTGTCTTGGTTTTCACACTGGCTCCTCCGATCTGGTTCTCGTATTTATCTTTATCGTGTTTTTTTACAACTGGCTTCGTTCCGGTTCCTTCGTTTTGCTTCAGCTTAGACCCTGAAGATTTATTTTCTTTCTTTAGTTTCTTCTGAGGTATATTACTTGTTTGGACAACTTTTTTTTCTGGGCGACGCTTCTCAGTTGCCGCTATGTCCTCCAGTACTTGTTTAGGCCGTCCATTACCTTCAGTATTTTGATTGGTCTGTTCTTGCTGCAGATTTTTGTTGCCAAATGATGCGCCTTTTTTCGGCTTTTGCTTAGACACTGTCTTGGTTTTCACACTGGCTTCTCCGATCTGGTTCTCGTATTTATCTTTATTGTGTTTTTTTACAACTGGCTTCGTTCCGGTTCCTTCGTTTTGCTTCAGCTTAGACCCTGAAGATTTCTTTTCTTTCTTTAGTTTTTTCTGAGGTATATTACTTGTTTGGACAACTTTTTTTTCTGGGCGACGCTTCTCAGGTGCCGCTATGTCCTCCAGTACTTGTTTAGGCCGTTCATTACCTTCAGTGTTTTGATTGGTCTGTTTTTGCTGCAGATTTTTGACGCCAAATGATGCGTCTTTTTTCAGCTTTTGCTTAGACACTGTCTTGGTTGTCACACGGGCTCCTCCAATCTGGTTCTCGTATTTATCATTTTTTTCTTGCTCCTGTTCACACTTCTTAGATGCCACTTCCTGCTGTTGACTGGACCCTTCCCTGGCATTAGCTTTAGCATTCAACTTAGCTACACCCTTTTTTTCCTTTGCCTCCTGCTTTTGCTTAGGCTTCCCTAGTTCGCAGTCCTTTGAGAGCACCTCAGCATTGGCACCCAACACAACAGCCTCACTTGTGCCTCTCTTCCTGACCTGCGAAACGCCTTCTTGCTTTATCTGCTCATTCTCATCAGCCAGATCACATTTCAGTTTCTTCGATTGCCCGCATTGCTCAAACACTGCCTCATTCTTGGCTGTACACTTTGATTTTTTCTGTCTTCTAGGGACGTCTTCTTCTGAGTGACCCTTCTCAGCTGCTGCTATGTCCTCCTGTCCTTGTTTAGACTGTTTATTACCTTTAGTGTTCTGATTAGTCTGTTTTTGCTGCGGATTTCTGTTGCCAAATGATGCGTCTTCTTTCAAATTTTGCTTAGGCACTGACTTGGCTTTCACACAGGCTCCTCCGATCTGCTTCCCGTATTCATCATTTTCCTCTTGCTCCTGTTCACACTTCTTAGATGCCACTTCCAGCAGTTGACTGGACCCTTCCCTGGCACTAGCTTTAGCATTCAACTTAGCTACACCCTTTTTTTCCTTTGCCTCCTGCTTTTGCTTAGGCTTCCCGAGTTCGCAGTCCTTCGGGAGCACCTCAGCATTGGCATCCAACACAGCAGCCTTACTTGTGCCTCTCTTCCTGACCTGCGAACGGTCTTCTTGTTCTATCTGCTCATCCTCATCAGCCAGATCACGCTTCAGTTTTTTCAATTGTCCATGCTGCTTGAACATTTCCTCGTTCTCAACTGCACGCTTTGATTTTTTCTGTTTTTTAAGAACGTCCTCTTTCAAGGCTCGCTCCGCAGATGATGCGACATTCTCAAACTCCTCACTTTCACCACTATCACAAGACTTGTGCCTTGACTTTCTCTTGACCTGCTGAGATACACCACCTTCAGAGCAAGGCTCTGTATGCGATACGGTAGCTTCGAGTAGGGTTGGCTCACTGTCATCAGCGTGTTTCGGTTTTTTTCGCCTTTCAGGGACAACGCTTTCCTGGCAGAATTTGTCCGGCATTGTGGCAACCTCCACTGGGTCTTTCATAAGCGTTTCTTCTCGTTGCTCAACGCTCATCTCAGAGCTCTGGCTTCTGCTGCCATCATCAAATTTGTCCTTTAACTTTTTCTTTTTCTTCTTGGGTTGAACATTTTCATCTTGAGATGAGCCAGCATTTTCAGTGTAAACGCCATTAAGTGCCAGGCCGGTTCCAACCTTGTCTTTATCGGTGCAAGAGGTCCATTCATTCTGTGCAGAAGTATTTTTTTCAAACCTTTTGCTTTTCTTTACAGACTTCATCTCGCTGTCTTCACCTCCACTCTCTCTATTTTGTTCGCAAGACTGAGAGTCTCCGTCCTCCTCAAGCCCTGTGAAAGCAAAAATATTGGCCGTATTCACTATGGCTGGCCGGTACAATGCATGACAGTCTCACAGTGGAACAGCTTTTAAGGTTACACACTTTCAGCAATTCAGTCACTAAACAAAGCTGTGAATTCCATAGCGATCCCTTCATGCGGCAGAGGTGTTTTGAGAAAAAGCTTTCCAACTGATGTGACGGCACACAAAAAACAGTTGCAAAACAAAAAAGTCGCAGTTCCACCGCAAGACCAAAGCAATGAATGCGATAGCAACAACTTGAAATGTAACACTGAGAATGACTAGCAGGTCGAAACGTGCAGCGCGCTGCTCACACACAAATGACAGAGGAAAACGAAACACACAGGATGAGAGCTATCTAACAATGTTTACAGCTCGACGTTTAACGCATTGTTTAAACAAAAATGATGCACAAAATGTAATCCCAGGTACAGATATGTGTGTGAACTAACGAGTGTTCCAGTTGTTACTTCGCTGTGTTTGAAAAGTGCGCTCTTTTCGCAAACAGGGCCTGCCCAGCAAGCGAAGTGACCTTTTGGCGCAGACAACTAATGCAATCATTCTGGTGAAAGGCCAAGGCGCAGTGTTCTCCCCACCGTAAGATAAGTGAGCACGCACAAGCACCTACCCCCCCCCCCCCCTCCTCCTCCTCCATCTACGAGGCAAAATAAGCGTGGAAGATAAGCGCGCGTTGGCACATCGTGATGGGCTTGAGTTTTTATATACATTGACAGTATACATACACAGTGCATGACGGCGGCGGCGATGGCAAGAACTAGTCGAGACTGTCCATATAATTGATATCGCAATGAAAAAAAAAAACAAATTTGGTAAATGCTTGTGTTACACAACAGAGTACTTTTTTATGCAAAATGCACCCTGAACCTTGAAAAACAGGCTATGAAGTCGTGGTGTCGTACCACACAAAAATTATATTTAGCTCTCATTGTTTTCGCCATGAACTCTTGTTTGCAACGGCACCGAGTGTTTGCAGTTGCCATAATTAACCACTTGCTGCAATCAGGTGAAATTAAAACAATAAACGTTCAAATGCTTTTGCATGACGTGGTTCATGAGAGAATTCCCGTAGCTGCTTCAAGTGGTCACGCAGCACCATTTGACAGAAACGCAGTACTAACCTCTACGTCGTTTCGACGCCTTCATGCGTTGAGCAAAGTACTCTTGGTAGCTCAAACTACTAGTGTGCGTTTTCACTCCTGACAGGTCTCCTTGGCCGTTTGAGTCAGCCCCTCGCACACTTTCCTGCAATACAGTATGCGACACTCTTAATCCAACCACGCATGCTGTTCGCTATAACTTCATCCAAGTGCACTTCATGCAGTGTATGCTACTACCCTGTAGGCCCAAATAACATAGCACACAGATGAAAAACACGACACATGTCACAGCATCCTGTCGCATTGTGTTGTGCCAAAGCGTGTAACCATCTCAGTGCAATTTTCTGCAGTGTTTCAGGTATCTGATGAACAAATGTTGGCAGTGACTCGAGCGTCACAAAGGTACTACACCGGATGCTGGAATACCAACTTCTAGCATCCTTATTTCCTATGTTGCAAGAGCATTCAAAACGCAACAGTGTTTGAAACGAGTCGAACCTATTCCCTAAAAATCTGCAATGCGGACCAAGCTTCATGAAATAGGAAGTTATTCGTTTGTCTATCAACAGTTGAATGATAAAGAAACAACACTTGTAAGAGCCTCCCAAAAAGAAAGCTTTTGCAAATGTAAACTTTCTTGCAATTTCACCTGATTGACTTTTCAGCATAGTTGCTGACAACTCACCAAGTCTTTTTTGTTTTTCCTCTTGACCACGATGGCATTGAGGTCCTCTTTTTTCTTCTGACTCAGGTCCTTTCCTCTGAGAAATTTTGAGTAGCTAAAGCGTAGAAGTGAAGAAAGAAAAAAAGGTATCAATAAACACTGTTAGTCTGTGGTAGTAAACTTCTAAGAATGTGCCATGGGAGACTGCAGGTTGCACTGCATCCCGACACAACCAGCATTTTGCTACGCAGCCTACAGGTGGTTTCGTTTGTCTGTTCACGGAAGCCACTGTCTCCAGCTCTAACAACTACAGCTCATTTTTGTGCATAGTGATGTCAAATTAACATAGCGATGCGATGTCAAATGTATGCTTGCAGCTACTTTCACATGAATGATAGACTTTACTACTGCGCATGAGAGGGTCATCAGCATAATGAGAGGGTCAACAGCTTATGATGGAGACACTCCTCTCCTTCCATAAAATGTTTAGTCGATCGCTTCAATGCGGTGTCACTGTAATGCCCTCCAACTGCGTGCTTCCACATAGACACCGGCCTAACTAGCTCCAATTATTACAAGAAATCGCAGTATGAACTTTCAAAACAAAGGCATTTGGACATTCATCTACACCATTTTTTTTTTCAACTGCATCAGAACCTTTCTGCGGATGAGCAAAATGGTGATTTCTTGGTGTCAGTCTGGTATTCGGTAGTCAAGGTTGACGAATCAGGATACAAATTATGGATTTTTGCAGATTCCAACACAGGGGACACTGTTCATTTCAACAGGAACAGGGTCTCCATCACCGACCACGAAAACTGAAAAATACCGTAACTGTAAACTATGCTACAAGGACAGCAAAGTTGAACAGAAAAAAAAAATGTTTTCTACAAAACAGGTGCAGCCATAGTTAATTTCACCGTGTCGAGAAACTGCTTTGCAGGGTGGCATGATAGGCACTAGTGCATATATTTTTGTATGCATGCAAATAACTTCTGTGCTTACAGAGCCAATATTTGCAGTGTTATTTTATCAGGATACTGTATTCAAAGCCTATATTTTGATTTTTTTTTATATTTACAGTGTGCGGAGTAGCATTGTTTTTACATCATTTTTCTTTGTTTACATTTTTCTAGTAATACTCCAAAGAAATATGTTATATGAAATTAATACTGTTTGAAAGACCAATTCTTTTGCCATTATTTGAGTCCCTACTCTTCTGCATCGCTCAACTTTTAAGCACGAAACGATATTACCTGGACTACCCAAACAAACAACTAACGTTTCGCTTGTCACGAAAGTGTCAAATTAGGCCGTATGACAGGAGTATAAGGGTAACTCTTAGTTCCATTCCGCTTTGCTTACAAAAGAAACTCACTGAACACGACCGCCAAGCTTGAATGCCCTCTCTTCAACACTGATGAGCTTATCCTCTTTAGCTGCAGGGTTACCATCGTTCAGGTTGCCTAGAAGACTGTCAAAGGCCTCCTGGTGCTCTATCCAACGATCATCAACACCGGTGAAGCCTATGCCTGGAACGAAACGTAGGTATGTGTTGGTGAAAGTCACTCAAGGACACGAGTGCACTTGCATACACCTTGAAATAATTCTTACCTGTGCTCTATAAGCCTGTAGAACAGACCAAATCGCTGGATAAGCACATTGATGTACAAATATCTACAACTTAAATCCCACACATTACACCACACACACAAATAGGGCACTACAAATGCACTGCAAGTGTTATGCAATGCTTTGTTTACAGAAAACCACTGCACTGTACTTGTAAACACAGAACTTAATTTGGCTGGACATTCTCAAGTGTTTGTAATATTTATAAGAAACCTGAATAAGCCCCGAAATCATACTTCAAACAACTCAAGAATGGCAATCTTCCTGGCCTTTTTTTCGCAGAATAAAATTGACCCAAAATTTTATATTCAGACAGGAGGAGGGCGAATTTCCTGTGCCTCAGACGTGCACGTGCAATTCCGGAAAGCACACTTCGTTTTTACCAACACTTGCCAAGTTCTCAAATCAACAAGCAGAAGGGTGATTATCGTTCTCAGCCTATCAAGTGTTTTTTGTTATCATCCATTTACTGACCTGTCAAGGAAAAGGCCCTTAAAACTGGAAAGTAAGCTACGAAAAACAATTCATCTGAACTGCTAGTTTTTCGGGTTTTTTTTTTTTTAAATTCTTAACATCACAAGCTTTTGTCAAGTTACACGGCAGCTCGCCACACCTCAATGTGATACTGCCTTAGGGTCAACAACATATGCAGGACTTTAATAAATCGGCAGCAATGTGGCTACATCTTCCTAAAGCCACTCTAAGCCCCATGAAAGTCTACCTTTGTGCATCATTCAGGGGTGCCAGAGTCTCCTTCGCGAAACTCAATTCACTGTATAAATTGCTTTGGAATTTATTTGAGTCTCACCTTTGGTGTTCACCTTCACCTTGGGTCGAATGAAATCGGGCGAGCCATTCTCATTTTTTCCCAGTCCTTTGCCCTCTGTCCAGCCCATCTTTTTCATCAGCCTCTCGCTGTAGGCGTAGCCTGCAAGGGGCAGCCCCGTCACAAAGTGTATTCGAAGAAACAAAAACGAGAAGCTAGCCTGCACTAAATGCCCTCCCCCTCACTCATGTACTCTGATGTGAGGAAAAGAGACAAAAAAATTAGGCAACTTAGCACTAGTGATGCCAAGCCTAAAAGAAAAGCGTAACTGGGCATCCTGTTTTTTTTTTAGGATTTCTCTCTTTATTTTTTTTTATTTTATTCTTTCTAAGTTTTTAATCTATATTTTTCTACTTCCTTTCTCTTTCTCACTTGCTTCCCTTCTTTTTCTATTTTTATGCGTGGTTTTGCCTGCGTGTTGCACAGTGACAACAGTATAGACAACTCGGGCCCCTGGAGTGCTCTGCACTTAAAAACGAAAAGTCAGCCCGTGCTAAATGTCCTTAACCTCGATAATGCGCTCAGATGTAAGGAAAGATACGAAAAAAGATGTCTAGGACGAGAGACGATTAAGGTATACTGGGATGTGAGCATAGAGCTTTCTAATCATGCACCAGAGGGAAATCTGGCGCTAGTGGGAGATGCAACTCGTGGCGGTTCAGCCAACATGGGAATGATGGCTAACACATAGAATTACATAAGCCTTGTTTGGCTAATGTTTCCTAAAATCAACTAGAGGGGACTCTGACGCTGCGATCTTTCAGTGACCATAAGAATGATGGGTAGTACACGGTCTCGAACGCTCTTGTGGCTTCCTTTATTGCTGTGTTATGGTTTTGTTTCTAATGCAAGAATAGACAGTTATAAACTTTGTAAGCTGATTTGAAATGGTGAGTGTAAAAGATTAAAGCAGTGAATTGCAACTGCTGAACATGAGCCGATTGTCGTTTTGTGACAAAGCAACTTTAAGCTACGCGAAGCCAACCAGAGCCAAAAGTACGAACATTGGACAGATCCGTGTACTAGCTATCATTCGCATGCTCGCTGAAGCACCATGCGTTGCAGCTCCCGTAGACTCTTGCAACAGAGTTCCCTCTAGTGTATTTATAGGCCACTCTATGGTTTGGCTCCCTACTGCCTGCAGTCATTTTGTCACCAGATGAAGTTCAGCAAATGTTCAGCGGTTTGACTTCAACAACCTTTTAGGGTCTCAGCCAGTTCGAATCAGCTAAAGAAGTTTGCAACGATCCATTCTTCCATCCAAAACTGAATCATAGACAAAATTACAACTGCATTCAAATCCACAAGCACAAAGGTGAGGCAAATCCATGTACTACTTATCATTCCCAGGGCGGCTAAACAAACTGCAGCGCCAGAGTTACCTCAAGTAAATATTGGAGGGAAATTCCATGGATGCGAGGACGTGCAGCCCATCTATTCACCTTACTACAACTACTGTAAATGTGAATGACAGCACGTCACCTGATTAAAATTCTACTGTCATCATGCTTATGCTTTAAAATTTTAAAGAAATGAATGACATTTAGAAACAAAGGGTGCACAGAACCAGGGATCTTTTTTGACTTACTCTGGAAGAAAAGGTGAACGATGTAGCGAAAACAGAAATTTTAGTAATCTATGGCGTCAATGTGGCCAAGGCTTGAAACTCAAAATGCCATACTGAGCATTCACCTCTCTCGTTAGTAGTGTACAGTCGGTTCACCGTGCCCTGTAGTGAGAATCTTCTTTTTTTTTAACTCTAGACATGGTTGAGCGGCTTATTGATAGAGTGTAATAGCACATTGTTTAACTGCACAACACGTAGATTAAAATATTGCATAATCAAACCAAATACCACGGCAGAAATCTAGAATGACGGAACTAACTTCAGGCAGTCGTTAGTTCCAGCAATGCGTGCGTCTACCTTCTTTCTCATGTACCGCAGTTTTGCTGGCTTTCCTTCAAGCAACATCAACTGGCTCAGGCATCGACTCTGAAGAGTGGCACTGCTCTATGGCTGTTTGGTGTTCACTTTACATAATGTCGGGTACTCGGGTAACCTTGGTCTCAAGAAGTTGATGTATGCCCAGTAATTTTTCGAATATACAAGGATTATTACAACCTTCCACTGTCTCTATATTTGTCAGGCTCAAAATCGAAAAAAAAGAATAAAGAAAACGGTATGCATATGACGAAATCACACCGTGAACGACGACCAACTCCGACTCCGCCACATAGTAGCCGGCCGCAGATCACGACATCACGGCACTTCTCAACTTAGAACACACATTGAAGCGATTACCACTCCGACAGCGCAATGCTGGCAGCGTCTACACGTGTCGCAGCACGCTGGTGCGCGGTACCCAAAAACTGCACAGACGACGTCTCTTGGACGTCGTCCGTGCAGTGAGAAAGGATTTATAGCTTACTCGGCCTGCCTTTCATCGTGTCACACACTCGGAAACGGCAAGCACACAATACGTCACGTCACACTTGCTCGACCTTGTGGCAGTTGTGAGCGCTGTTCGGTGAAAATTTCTGTCTTAATTAGCGAGCCAGAGTCCGGAAATTCTTGGGCGATACGTCGATTCATTCAGCGACGCTGCAAGTCGGCAAAGCGCGTCAACCTGCGCGGAAAGCACATGGAAGAAGTGGAAAGCACACCACTCGTAGAGCGCCATGTTTGGATTGCAATGACTTGTCTCGGCTGCTGGAGAATGAAGTGAATCTTTTTACAATTTAAAGAGACTTCAGCAAATAAAATATTTGAGGCATTATAAACCAGTTTGGTTTTACTTTAACTATAAATTTTATAACGCTTTTATGTTAACTTTTTGTCGTAAAATAAACTGCAAGCCTTAAACACATCAAAAAGAATAGTACGTCTTCGCAAACGCTGATCTTCGTGATGAGCTTGTTTTTAACCTGGCAACGCTGTAATCTTTGTTTTTGTCACATGACATGTCACGTGGATGTTCAAAACGCAGCGCCATTGTTGTTATTTTTTGGCGCCCTCCATGTGGCGACTCTGGCGCCGTACAGCAGACAAGGCAAAACGGTGGACAGGCTGGTGTTTCTGGGTCTGCTGAGCCGGGTTGGGGAATAATAACCCGAGCGAATCGCACCGCTACGTCGAAATGGCCTTCGCCGTTCCAACCGGTACGGACACGGCCCCGCAGAAAGACCCGCCAGACCTGGATGTCGACGAGAAACAAGAACTCGGTAAGTACAGGTGTCGCGATTCTACGCGCGCCACTTATCTTATAGCTGCAATCGCATGCTGAAATCTCATGCTGCAGTTTTTTTTAACCACTGCGTCATGGCTTGTCATTGCGTGAGAGTTTGCAGTTGTGAACGCCGAATTGGTTATAATGAGTGCTAAAGCATACAAGAAGAATCAACAAGACAACTTAAAGCTTCACTTTCCAACAGCGATACCCAGAAACACACTATTTCGTTAATGAGCCTATATGCTGCCGATTGCCGGACATCGTTCATTTATGACGATCTAGTCACCGCGTTTGTGTACACTGTCAATTTTTATGAGAGGGAACGCGTGGCCCGCGCCTTCCGGTGGCTGCTTGTATCGCTTTCAAGCGGTCATCTAGTGGCAAGCAAAACAGCCCGTCATTGGTTATATGGGACCGGCAGCAAGATAACAACCCCCCCCCCCCCACCGCTTCAAGGCGATTACACAAAATGCCGGGCGTAATCTTTCCGCCGGTTCCGTGATATCACCAATGACCGGTAGTTGCTGTCGCTCCCCCTTCACATGCAGCCGCCAGAGCATGTTGGCCACGTGTGCCCTTTCATAAAAATTGACTCTGTACATACTGATCGGAAACGAAACGTTTTGATTTGCGATAGCAGATTAGTTCCGAATAGCAGACTGCATCATTTTGCACCACAGAACAGTGCCCGAGTTGCGAGCGCGTCATCAAAAAAAATTAATTATATCCACAGAATTCGTCGAATCACAGGCAGTCGTGGCCAGCAACGAAAGCTAAAACCACGATTTAAATAAAGCAAGGTTAACAGGGAGTTTTAAAGGGTGCGCTTTTGGCGATTGTAACAAACCGTCTGTAAGCGTGAAGTTGGGCTTCTCCAAGAAAGGTATAGTAAGTTTACAAAATGACAGTAAAGCATTTGGTTGGGGGAGCTATGTGAGGACCTTTTTCACCTTTAAAAAAGAAAATCTCATCTTTGCACATTTAAAACCAGTTAGAAAGCTCTGGGCACATTAGAATTGAGTGCGAGACCTAATCCTCGTTCGCAACAGCCTCTCGCCAGTGGGGCCAGATAACGTCGCCACCATCGCAAAATAGCGATAGAGCACATTTTGTTATGGAATACATATATTTGAGAGCACAAGTACCTTCACTTCGTGTGTGCAATGTGACCTGTGTGGGTCCTATCCGTTCCACACAAAGCACTGTTGATGTGCTGCTTTCATTATGAATTCTCACATCCCTCACATTAGAGGAAGGTTGTTTCACATGCTGAAGATGCGTAGTGCAGGGCTGCTTTTCTCTATGTAAATTCTGAGGGCATATGCTACGTTTCAGCATAAACAATAGTGTCACGGGGTCGTGACGTGGCCAAAGACAGGAAACTTCGTGTTGGAATTTAACTGTTTATTTGGGCGAACCTGTGCCCGGTAAAGGGAAAGTCTAATTACAGCAGCAGTCTTGCACAGATAGCAGTCTCGGACTGATAGCGGCGAACGCAGCGTCGGCCTTCGATCAACAACTGACAAGCGGCGAAGCGCGTCGGCATTTATACCCTTGCCGTCGAATGTTCTAGCGTTATCGCTGGCGGTGGCGTAGGTTCCAGAACAATCTGTATCGTTCGCACAGTGGGCGTGATCTTATCGAAATGATCTACTACAGTCCGGAACCTTCTCTAAACCTGCAGGCGCGGTTTGCGCCGAGAATCGTGTGGTGTTTCGGAACGATAACAAAAACTTGTGAAATGGAACGTGGCAATAGCAAGTCCATACGAGTGTCGTCGAAAGTTGCTCGGCTATGCCTTGGAAGTTGTGGTGCTTTTTTAAAAGGTGTTCTTACTCTATGCATTCATTTTCTTGCAGAGACAGCAACTGTGACACCCATAAGGAACCACCCAGAAACAGCAATGAGGGCTGTGCAGTGCCTCAAACGCAGACAGTGTACGTGATCGTCACCTTTCCTTTTAATGCGATGGCGTTAGAGATCTCGTGTCGCGGTCAGCGTCGGCTCAATTGGTTGCGAGCGAAAAATTATCTGCGAGGGAAAAAGCAAGTTACAGAGATTGCTGCGGGAGGCCGCTACTTGTCCACGCTTGCGCACACTATCAGACTGAAAAAGCCGCGCATTCGAAGAAAAAAAGTGCGCAAGGTCACGAGGGGCGGTAGTTTTTTTGCCCCTGCCACCCCTCCCTGCTTAGTTTTCGGCGCTTTCGTCGGGACGAAAGAAGAGAGAACGCAATCGCAGCATGCGACAAACCTTTGTAACTCCACTCGCACTGGGCGGATTCTTAAAAATTTTCCGGCGTTGAGTTTCTGAGGCAATAAGCTCTTCTAGTGAATTCATTCCATGGTTACTTGAAAAAGTGTTTCAGGGCCCCTTTAATGCGTTTTGTTTGACAGGTGTCACGACGAAAACGAGTCCATTCGGCGATTTTTAGGTGCATTTGGGAAGCCTCAAACTGCGTCAAAAAAGGCCGGGATAGTGCAGCCATCGCCACTAAAAACACGGGAACTTTCAAACAGCCCTAAAAATGGACAACTATGTCTGTTTAGCGGAAAACATATCATGCCTTTTCAGAAACGTTGGTCAAGCAAACAGCAAACGCTAGATAATCTGCTGCTATCTGTGAGGCATTGTGAGACACTTCACGGCCTTCGAGATGGCGAGCGCACGGCGTGTATCTTGGAGGCCATACGACTCTTGCTTTAGATCAAAAACCTTTATGTACCATTTGCACGCGTGCGCTCGTACGATCCACTGTGTGCGTGCGTGTGTGTATATGTAACAAAATATAATAATAAGTATGCACTTGGCGGTTGAAGGGCACACCAGGGGTTGAATTTCGCTATCGCGTTCTACTCTTAATTTCGAGGCTTAAAGGTCCTCCAATTTTTTTTCTTCCAGTCCGCGGCGGTGGTGTACCACGTGGCTTCCCAAAATTAACTAAAACGGACTCTGGCGCTGCGATCGTTCAGGCACCATGGGAATAATGGGTAGTGCATAATTTTGCCTAGTCTTTGCGCTTGCGGGCTTTGAACCCACTTGTGGCTTTGTTTATTATTGTTTTGGTTTTGTTTTTAATAAAAGAATGGATCGTTCTCAACTTCGTGGCTTTATTTAAATTAGTTAGCCTAGAAGGTCAAGATTGCAAAGTGCACCTGCTGAACATTTGCCGAATGTCATCTCGTAGCATTGCAGCTCCAAGCCACGTGAAGCCAAGCAGAGGTGAAAGTAGGAAAACTAGACAAATATGTGTACTACCTACCACTCTCGCACTGGCTGAAGCGCCATGGGTTGCAGCTCCCATAGACACTAGCGCCAGAGTTCTCTCTAGCATAATTATAGGAAAGCTTATGGTGTAGCAGTTATGGCAAGGTCACGGGCTCGGCCCCAGCCACTACAGTCACATTTTATTAGAGGTTAAATTCTGGACGCCTGAGTACTGTGTGATATCAGTGGCCATTAGAAAACACCACATGGTCAAAATTTCCGGAGCCCTGCACTACGGCATGACTCATCATATTCTGGTTTTGGCCCATGAAACCCCCAGATATTACGAATTTTTCTCCCTCTCTCTAATATGAACAACCTCAAGCTAAGAAGTAATGTGTAAAAAAAAACAAATAAGAGTGATAAAAGCGTGACAGGTCTGATTTGACTTTTCCACAAGAGCAGCTTGAAACTGGCGATCATGCTACGACTGAACTCAGTTTAATACCAATGCTTTCGTACATAGGTGTACTTTTTGCAGCAGATGTTGTTTCGCACTGACAATGTCTGTGTTTCTTTTGGTTTTATGCTGAGTAATAGAAGGGAAGGCTTTAGACATAAACAATTGTCAGGCCGCTACGAATGTAATGTTTTATCTCTTGGCATTGGGAAACATTTTGTATGAAGCACTGTGCCACGAGTGCCCTTGCTCCGCTTGCACGAGCACTTGCGATGAAATGCAGCTATGATATGCACAGGGTTATGCATTTTGCCTGCAGTAGTTTTTGTGCATCCTCTGCAGTGTTGACTGCTCTGTATGGAACGGAGTGTGATTTGGGTATCAATTGAAGCTCGTGCATAATTTATTTGTGCACATGGGCACCCTTCTACTTTCTGTGCAGCTGTTCAGGATGGCAGTTCTCTGAAGCGTGCAGCACAGAGCCCCATCCTCAATCGAGCTCCCCAGGAAGCTCAATTCAACAAGCTTAGACGTCTTCTTAGGCGCCTGATCAGCGCTCGTCCGCCTGAGCGGCGCTTCAGGTCTACCAATGACCCGGAGGACCTGGCGTTTATGCCTGTGTTCTGGGTGAGCAAGTGGGTGGACTATACGGACAAGTATGGTCTAGGCTACCAGTTGAGCGACAACAGCATCGGAGTTGTCTTCAACGATACCACGCGAATAATTCAGTTCAACGACAACGAGTGAGTTCTCAATTCACTATGAGATGTTAAAGAGAGATATTTCAGCCTGTATCAATAAACTATCGTTCCACAAAGCAACAATGCCACTTCTTCTTTTAGGCACTCGTTGTAAGCCGGACAAATTCAAAATAAAATGCAGATTGTCACACCACCCTAATGTTTCTGCATTAGCAAGCTACGACGCTGTAGATTTTTATAAGGAAAACCGAATTCAGTAGTTCTTAAGGAGCGATATACTTAATATGGCAAGGTTGAGGAAATTCCTCCTGAGCCAATGACACCAAAATGCAGAAGCATGGAGACGTGGGTGTCGCACTGCTTTTTTGGTGCTGTAGTTTCTGCACGCAGTTAGTTTTTCTATGATGGTGAAATTAGCGAGAGTTTTCAAAGAATTCGTCAATCTATACCGATTTAGTTCTCGGATTGTCAAAACATTAGTGCGAGTCATGCTGTTTATTATACGTGATTCAGTTCAAGCATTGTACAACTTTCATATTTATGTGGGTTTGAATAGTTGAATGAAGCTGCACATGGAAACGTACTTGGTTGCTGAGTGTATTTCAAGTGTAACGAGAGATCCTATGGTATCAGAGACTATAAGAAAGCAGGGAAGCTTCCCATGCTTGTACAATGTACTAATTCTATTGATTCTGCCAATTCAAACTTCACTGGTCACCATACGTCGTCATGCATTGATACAAAAGTGTGATTACAGAAGATGCAAGGGCCATGCAGGGAAGCAGATCTACTGGTGGGGATTCGAGCATTTATACAGGGTGGGCTGCTGAAACACCAACGTACCTACTGTTAAATGTTTATTGAAAACTCCCAATATTGTTATCTTTTCATCATTGCAAGTACGAGAAATACTAGTGTTTATTTTCGTTCATCCATTACCCTATATAACAAAATGGTAACTGAACAATTGAAGGCATTGTACGTTTTTGTTTTTTGGTGGATAATGATTACGCAAACATGATGAGCTGGATTTATGAGCGGCAACTTCGCAAAAAATTTGGGATTGCAATTTTCCCCCTTCTCGCGTTAGTGCTTCTGTCAGTAAAACTAAATTTTCTCATTTGGACAGGAGCGTGGCATACGTCGACGAGGACTGCATTGAGCACTACCACTCCCTGGAGGAGTACCCGCCATCGCTGGAGAAAAAAATTATCCTGCTGAAACACTTCTGCATCTACATGAAGAAGCTTTGCACAACGGGCGAGGATGTGAGCTCCAAAGTGTGTGCTGACAATGCCGGGCGCGCGTGCGTACAGAAGTGGCTGCGGACATCGTCGGCAATGTCATTCTACCTGACCAATGGAACAGTTCAAGTGAGTCTTGGCCGAAAACAGCATTGTATGTTATTTTTGCTTTCAAGTGTACTTGGCTTCAACCGTACTGCGTCACGGTATGCTGTGCAAACAGGACCTAGTTAAAAAAGCCGTGTGCAGGGGTACAACAGCTATGCCAATTTGATACAGTTCCCCACTTTTGCGCTGAGCTGCGCCAAAACCATGAAGTTTGCTGAAATTGTGCCACGCTGCCCCAAAATGCCCGACCAGCCTCAAAATTTTCTCAGTTGCGCTAACTTCAGCGAGAAATGGTGGCCACATTTCCCACCTGCAGTTTGAGTCATCAATCAATCCAAGCACGTAGACTCTAACCTCAAACCACGGTAACCTAACCACGCTAACCTTTAATCCCTTTAGGTCAGGGTATTTGCGATACGTGATTGATCAGATGAGGTAACAAAGCTCATCAGTCCGCTGATCGCAATGGATACCTATCGGCGGGACGGCGCAACTTCAAGACCAAAATGCATTGCCCGTTGCTGTAGCCACAAACTCTTCACGGGAAGTATAAACTTCCTAGTTAATAAAAGTCGCCATAGCATGTTACCAACTAGAGCTGGGAGCGCATACCGTGTTTTCCGTGCACGAACAGAGTCGACATGCTGTGAACACTGGCATTGCTAGCGGCCACGTTGGTCGCTATAGTAACGGCACAAGAAACATTTTAATTTCTTGAAGTTGCGTCGTCCAGGCAATAAATACCCGGTGCTCTCGCAGAACCAACGGGTGTGCACCGAAATGTTGTGCCTAACCCCCATCGTAAAGAAAAAAAGTTTCGCCGTATCCACGGAATAATTGATGGATAAGTAGGCGAAGCTTGAGAGGAGGAGATCATTGGTAAACTGTAACTCTCTCGTGGAAAGTTAGCCCATTACATCATTAGAAGGACGTAAGACTATGCGTATATTATACAAATCAACTTTTATGTTCTCATTCATTTGTTGTTTACTTGCTTCGTTTGTTCTTTTCATTTCTTCATTGTCATGGCAGCTGGATTGCGAGGTCCTTTCATTATTATGGCTTTATGGTTCAAGAAATGAAGTGAGAGAGGTTCTTGTACTGGCTGCAGTGGGAAGTTTGCAAACACTGTCTATGCATGTCCCTCGGTTGGTGGTAGGTTGCATATGGATGCATCTGACTGCGTATTTGGAAAGCATGTGCTGCACGATGCAGTCATTGGAAATGAGGTCCATCCATGAGCTTCATCGATTTACACGTCCAGGACGGCTCTGGACGCCAGCGCCGCATTCGTTTTTCTCAGGGACCGACTGGAAGCTCCATCCACTGGTCCGGGATCGCTCGGACGCATGTTCGTTTTTCGCGTGCCTGGCGGCCTGTGTGCAGCCCAGGACCGTCCGAACAATTTTTTTCGGGCAGATGACAGCGCAGTGCGCATGCTGTGCAGCCATCTTAAGTTAAACATGGGAAATTTTTCTTGTGCTCGCTTTGCTTTTCTGTCCGCTTCTCGCATGTTTCTAGATTTCGCATTGTTTGCCCACCCAGTTCTTGTCGTCAGTGTTCTGAGCCGCGTCAAGCATGTGCGTATTCCCGAAGGTCGTGCAAACACGCGTTATACTCGCTAGGAGGAACAGCGGTGGAACGACCGCGCCGGTCTACGATGCACACGCGCTCGAGTAGTTCACTTACAGTAAGTTGCATCACAACAGAAATAGGTATAATTCACGAGTGTTGAAGATTGGGCGAGTTGGTTCGTCGTACTTGAACTGGTATAGTCATTACGGGGAAGAAGAAACGGCCGAGCAGACCGACACAAGAGCACATAGCGCTCTGTCCTCTTGTGTCGGTCTGCTCGGCTGTTTCTTCTTCCCCGTAATGTGCTATACCAGTTCAACTAGGTATAATTCACTACCTAACTGCTGTTTAGGTTGGAATTGGGTCAGCGTTGTGGCCTGTGGGGCAGCTATGGAGGGAGCGGACAACATAGCCTGACATAGCAGACGCCACAGCGGATGCAGTCAGCATCAAGCGCGCAGATGGCCCGAGGCCGCTCGGGCTGGCTCGGGACATTTAGATTACGTGCATGTGACGTAGCCGCCTGTGAGCCGAGGCGTCCGCGAGTGATCCGGGACTTGGTAAATTGATGAAGCTTTGTGTGCCCATGCATTTGTCTGTCACTCGTACTAGCTGAGTGAGTTCTACAACTAGGTGGTTACGAACTGGTCACAAAAGACATGCATGTACAGAACCACGGCTTCAGGAGTTTTGCCCCTAAAAAGCAAAGGGGAGGGGTGTAGCGGTGTTCGAAAATTTCTTGGCCTTCTTCCAACCCGTGCATAACGCTGCTTAAACAACCACCTTCGCCACAATACACTGGTGTCCTGCGGAAAAGTGATTTTTTTATTTTAAAGGGTGTGTTAGCACTACTCACTGGACAACAAATTTCGTTTAATTACACATGCGTGTATACTACCGCATAATTGTGCACACTAGTATGATCACTGACGTCTGAAAAAAAAGTTACTGGTAATCATTTGTAGCAGTGTGTGACACATCTGCCGTCCTTAAAAAAAATAAACTGTGCAAGTTTTTCTTTTTCTTCGCAACCCCTACTCAGTTTCACGAATTCCTTGAATTTATGGTCGCCAGCTTGGCAGTTCTACATTTTAATTCACGTATTCTGTGAAACGATTTGACAGACCCGGCAAGTGCAAATGTGAACTTTATCATTGTTTGCTCAGTGGGGTAGATCGAAGTACTAGTTTTTTTTAAACTGCAGTGCTCATGTTTACTCTGCATGATTTAGGTGTTGTTGAATGGCTTGCAGATACTTTATTTTTTCTAAATGTAAGCCTTATTTGCTCCGAATTTGCATTTAAGTGCTTCAAAAGTGAGACTCTGTTGCTCCGAATTCTATTTTGGCTGTTGCGCCCGTGCCTGTGACACTTTTCCTAGTAACCATCACATGGCTGCAGCAATGGAGCTTACTGCCTCGCAAATGGACTGCCTCAAATGTTTAGAGTGTGCCAGGTGCAAGCAGAGTTGGAGACTTGTCGCAGACACTTTCGTTCTTGCTTAGTCCCAATGAACGCACTGGAAGCTAAGCAGGAAGAGACGGCACGGTGAAAGAAGTTACGCCACTCCTGCTATATTGTTTTAAGCACTTTTTTTTATTAGAACCCGCTTCTTAGTGAGTGCATGTGGCGGCCTCCCACGGCAGCTCCAATAACCATGTAGCACACAATACTCACATCAGCGAATTGCCGTGAATGTAGGTATACAGCTTCATTTGTTGAAAGAAAGAGAGGTAATATGCAGCCGACTTTGAGAATTGTCAATTCCAGGACGCGTGCTGCAAGTGTCTGATTTTGAGTGTTATGGAGAGCCTCGACTACCAATCGGCAGCATTTTCTGACCATGAGCGATAAGTGTGCGCAAAGCCCTTGTAACGTGAAGTTGAATTTCGTTAGTATAACCAATTGTCCAATTCAATGAACTATCAATTTTTGGTTTCGTGCGTTGATATTTTTCTGACTAGTTTTGTAGTGCACTTTCATACAGAAGTTGCGGCGAGTTATTGTGCCGAGTGTAGCAAATGTTGCTCACTCTTGTGGCACAATACTCATTTTGTATTAATTGTTAGGCTACTTAATAAGTGTATTAGTAGCACTTTGGCTTAGCTTCAAAAAACTGAACTAGACAAAAGTTCTGAGGTTTTCTTGTTTGCGAGGAAACCTCGATGAAAGATTAATTCAGGGCAAAGCAGCTAAACAGTAATCACGTCGTCTACATTAGGCTGAGGCCCCTTGTTTTGCTGTCATTGTTATTGTACATGTTCTATCCCACTCGACCACAAAAGCATGTACTGGTTGAAATGAATTCTTGATGCGGAAAAAATCAACGCCACCGGATTTCGAACTTGTGTTTGACAAAACTGTCGTTTTGTGACAATCTGGCATTTTGTGACCACACAGCAAGCCATACTGAGTGCGAAAACATTTTCTTCAATGCGACCTTTCAACTGGCTTTAGTGCCATCACTTGACAAGTCTCCTCTTCGAGAAATGTCTATATGTATACTTTGTACTACTACGGGCTGTATAAGGACACTGAAAATTGTTGTTTCCTGCATTTCCTCTGTCTGGGTGGTCTGTGAACCAAGCTTTCCTTCCTTCGTTCCAGATCAATTTTTTCAAGGACCACACAAAGCTCATCTTGTGCCCGCTGAGGTGGGCAGTGACTTACATAGACAAGAGGCGGTTCTTCCACACATACCGGCTGGAGATGTTGCGCTACGGCTGCCCATCTCCGCTGTTCTGTCGTCTCAAGTATGCACAGACCATCTTAGACCGGATGACCACCATGTCGTGCTAGTCTGATCATCCTCCCAGTTTCCCCCCCATACCCCTTTTCATATCATAAGTTAAAAATTTTCCGTGGGTGAATATAAACTTCTGCGATTCTGCTGAAGTGTGATTCTGCTAAAGATTCCGAACTTGGCTGCTGCACACTGTGGCTTTATTAGTGATGCACAAGCGGCCATTTTGAATGTTTTAGTGATGCAGAAGCAGTCAGTTTGCAACTTTTGGCTGTCAACATCATCGCAACTACCCACACTGCTGTGTAAAGTCTCCAAAATTAGGACTGTAGCCTGGTGTCATGCTAGTGTTTACGTTATTGCGTACACTATGGGAAAATTGACTTTATTATCAGAATAAACTATGTTATCAGTATTTGCAGAGTTTCAAAGTTGCTCCCAGCAGTCTCTGTGTGCAGGAAACTTGTATGGCAGAGTAAGCACACCTTCAAAAAACAGTATCACTACACCTTTAACTCAATGCTAAGTGTAGCTTATGCTTCATATGGACAGCCTAAACTGTAAGCATTGTCAAATGTATGAGACATAAGAACATCTCTTCTGTGGCTAACCTCTCTTCGTGCATAACCAGAACACATGTGCCTTTAGGAGTGCAAGCATCAGCTGAAAGCTGTGTTTTTCTCCTGCTCCATTCAAACAGACATGTGTAGCAAAAGTGGCCTCACAGCAATATCAGACCTAATTATATTGAGGCATCGATGCACTACATTATTTACAAATAGAACAAATTGTTTCATGTGAAAATAATGTTTTGCGTTGCTTCCTGTTAACTTTCGGCAATGATTACATGGGGCAGTCGGGGAGATGCCTGAACAATAGGCTAAGGGCATGTAAGAAGTTGGGCCAATATTAAGATGGGCACGTTAAGATGGGCAATATTAAGATGCATGTCTATGCATTGTAATGATTGTGTATGTAAAGCGTTGTTCAAAGAGTGCGCCATTTTATGTAATGATGCTGAAAAGACAGGTTTTCAAATGTGAAGACTGGACCTTTTGTGTACAGTTCTATATATACTGTTACTTTTGAAAATAAACAGTCCATTGAAAGTTGGCACTGGTGTTGTCTCTTCTTATCCCTGCTTCTTCCTATGCTACATTTTCAAGCATATGACCACTCAGACCAAAAAGCCACGATGACCTGCTAATCAAGCCAGAGCAAATTAAGCTCGTGTTAGTTAGATTAAGCTAATTAATGCTATGACAGTAGAGACCAAGCCAAAATGGTCTTACCTTCGAATTCAGCAGACTAAGTCGACGTTGCGCTAGATAAAAAGGTGAAAGAAGCTAGGTAATAACAAGCTTCACATATGGCCGATCTCCCATGGTGGGTTGCGCCAGGTTAAAAAGAGGCAATCAATCAATCGGATAGCTGCAGCTTTGAGCCACTCGTGCAGGCTGCCCGCAATTTTTTTTTCATGTGCTGGTGCACCAAAGAGAGAGAAAAGTAAACATTTATTTAGAAAACAGTGTTCCAAGCGAGGCCCTGTGTCGCCCTAAGGTAGGAGAGTTTCCTAGTCCAGGAACCCTGTGGCTTTGACTGCCCTCTTGGCCCTGGCAACGAGTTGTCACTAGTCTTCCAGGTCCTCGAGGATGAGCTTGGCCTCCCACGTTTCCATTAGGTAGTCGTCGTTTATTCTTGGGGCTTGGTCCCGCTCCAGTTGCACGGCGTGGTTTGTATGGCACTGGCATTCCAGGAGCAAGTGTGCCAGGGTGTCCGGTAAGCTGCAGAGCGGGCACATGTAGCCATGTGTAGTTGGGTAGAGGCGATGCATTAATATGCCCTGTATGTAAGTATTGCTTTATAGGCATCTGAAAAACTCTCTCTTCTTTGGTTAGTCTTGCATGGGGTGGAGGGTACACCCGTCGCTCCAGTTTGTAGTGTTGAAGTAGCGACGAATAGGTGTTTTCTCTACCTCCATCTCTGCAGCCACTGCATTTGTTTTATTTAAATGTACAATAACTGTGCTCACGAATTACAAAGACATTCGTGATCACGTCAGTAACTTTCATTGCATATCACAAAATGTATAGAGCAATAAGGCATGGGTCAGTGAGCAAGAGAGAGAGAGAGAAAATTTAATGCGGAAAGGCAGGGAGGTTAACCAGAAAACATATCCGGTTTGCTACCCTGCACTGGGGAAGGGGTAAGGGAAAAAAAGGGGGAAAGGGAGGAAGAGAAGCACAAACACACACACACACACTCGCACACAGTAGTGTCACAATCGTTCAACGAGGCAGGTCGCTCGCAGAAACTTCATCAGCGCCTTCGTTGCTTTCTGGCGTGAGGCTCGATCTTTCCGACATTCCAAGATTGACTGCTCAGAAAATGGCTGGTCGTCGAGGCGAGCAAACACTGCTGAGAGGGACTGTCGCTGAGAGCTGTACTGGGGGCACTGACATAAAATATGTTCAATTGTTTCGTCATTGTCGCAATGGTCGCATGTAGCGCTGTCTCTCATTCCGATGCGGCAGGCAAAAGCGTTCGTGAAAGACACCCCAAGCCACATACGGCAGAGAAGGGTCGTCTCGGATCGGGGTAGGCCAGATGGAATAGTAAGTCGTAGGCATGGGTCCAGGCGGTGAAGACGGGTGTGGAGAAAACCGGGCGTATTCCGCATAGACCTTGCGACATCCTGCGCAAGCGTATTAATCTTTGCTGCTGCGTCGCTTCTTGATAGTGGAATAGGTTCCATCACTCCATTTTCGTGAGCATTCTTAGCTGCATTGTCGGCATGTTCGTTACCGATGATGCCGCAATGGCCTGGTAACCACTGAAAAGATATGTCATGTCCTTCGTCTATTAGGTGATGGTACAGTTGTCGTATTTCGAGCGCCAGTTGGTCTTGAGGTCCACGACGTAGAGCATTGTGTAGACCTTGGAGAGCTGGTTTCGAATCAGTAAAAATGCTCCATTTTTGTGGTGTCTCTTTGTCAATCCTGCGGAGTGCGCTGCGGAGTGCCGCGAGCTCCACGGCTGTCGATGTCGTCTTGTGTGACGTTCTGAACTGGATGGTTTCGGCTCTTGCTGGGAAGATCACAGCTCCTGCAGATCCTCCAACAGTTGTCGAGCCATCCGTGTAAAGTTTGACATGATCTTTGTATTCTTCGTGTAGCATGAGTAGAATCATCTGCTTTAAAGCTGGCGCCGAGAGCTCCGCCTTCTTGCGAATCCCCGGCACTGTCAAGCGCAGTTTTGGTCGGTCCAAGCACCAAGGAGGTGTTAGTATCCGTTCCGGAGGCGTGTAGACTGTTGGAAGGCACTCACGGAAAGTCAATACTCTCTTACAGAAGGAGGCACTCGGTCGATCTTCTGGAAGCGAAGCTAGGTGGTGGGCAGGGGCGCGAGCAAGGTGTCTAATATGAGCTCTAAGCACCTCCAAAGTAATGTGCACTGTGGCCGGATGATCTTTGGCGATTGCGATGGTTTCCGCTGTTGATGTACAGCGTGGTAATCCAAGACAAACTCTGAGTGCCTGGCCCTGGGCGTTTTCTATTGTGCGTATACTGCTTTTGCAAGCGTTCGTCAGAACCGGCAAGCTATACCGCAGGTACCCCAGAAACAGCGTTTTGTACAAATGCAACATCGCGTGCACTGATGTGCCCCACGTTTTGCCTCCGAGGAACTTGAAAAGTTGTGCAATGGCCGTTAGGCGCTTCTTTAGAGTGGCCACATGGGGACTCCAGCAGAGATTTCGATCGATCGTGACCCCCAAAAACCTGTGGGTCCTGGCGTAGCAGACACTGTGTCCATCGATGGTGATGGGAAATGACGTCATTGCCTTCCGCGTGAACGCGACCAGCGCCGATTTCTCAGGAGAAATCTCGAGGCCTTGTTCTCTAAGGTATGCCGATATTGAATTCGCTGCTTTCTGGAGTCTCGCACGTACCTGAGGACGTGTTACACCTGATGTCCAGGCACAAATATCATCTGCATAGAGAGATATCTGCACGGAATCTGGTATGCGTTCAACGAGACCGATCAGAACCAGGTTGAACAGTGTGGGGCTCAATACACCACCTTGAGGAACACCACGGTGTGTATAATGTTCAGAAGTCGGCCCATCATCAGTTTGCATAAACAATGATCTCATTTGTAGGTAGCATTGGATCCAGCGGTACACTCGCCCACCCAAACCAACTGACTCGAGGGCGTCAAGTATGGCTTCATGAGAAACATTGTCATATGCTCCTTTGACATCTAAAAATAGTGCGACAGATAACCGTCTGCTCATTTTCTGGTGTTGTACGTAGGTCACCAGGTCAATGACATTGTCAATGGAGCTCCGAAGACGACGAAAACCGGCCATGGCGTCTGGATATATTCTATGGCGTTCTAGGAACCACTCGAGTCTGGCAAGGATCATTCGCTCCATCAGCTTCCCTACGCAACTAGCCAGCGCTATTGGGCGGTATGATGTCAGCTCTAGAGGCGATTTTCCAGGTTTGAGAAGTGCAACCAACCGGCTTGTTTTCCACTCTCTGGGGACCGTTCCATCTCTCCAAGACTCATTGAATACTTCCAGCAAAGCACTTCGTGCTCGATCACCGAGATTGCATAATAGGCGGTATGATATGCCATCCGGCCCAGGCGATGACGATCGATTGCATGAAGCAAGAGCCATATTCAGTTCTTCCATTGAAAAAGGCAGGTCCAGGTGCGGGTCCAGTGAATGTGGCGTGTAATCAGCAGTAAGGGCTTCTGTGCAATTTGGCGGGCCCGCAATCTTCCTACAAAAGTCTTCCGCTACCTCGATATCCCTTCTATTTTGGAAAAGGGCCAAGGCTTTAAACGGAAAACGTTGTTGAGGAAATATGCGTAGGCCTCGCACGGTTCGCCATATTTGAGAAAGCGGTTTGCGAGGGTCTAGACTCGCGCAAAATTTCGCCCACCGTTGAAACTCCAGTTTGTCTATACGACGCTGGATCTTCTTTTGCATGCGCCTGGCCATCCGTAGATCTTGAATGGATTTTGTGCGTCGATATCTACGCTCCGCACGCCGACGAATCGCACGGAGTCGCTCTAACTCCATGTCCGTTTCTGAGGGCCTTGAAGAATATGCCAGCGTGCGCATCGCACTCTGCGCTGCTTGTTTGATCGCTTGCTCAATGCCAGAGGTTAAGCCTTTTTCACAAGCGTGTTCAATGTTGGTTGTGAATGCTGAAAGATCGATCCTCCGTACGGTTTTCGGCGGGTGGTCTCTAGCAAAGCCTTCGATGGTGAGATAACTGGGGATGTGATCGCTACCATGTGTCTCGATGTCTAAAAACCACTTAACGCTTGTGGCGAAGCGACGTGACACGAACGTCAAGTCCAAACAGCTGCTGTACGTTAATCCTCGCAGAAATGTAGGGCTCCCATCATTAAGTAGAGACAGTTCATGAGTCGATACAAATGAAGCCAGCCTCCGGCCCGTGGTATTGACTTTTGAACTTCCCCAGATTGGGTGGTGGGCGTTGAAGTCCCCTATAATTATCCACGGATCCGGGACGCTCGAAAGAATGTCATCCAGTCTTTGGCAATCAAAACGGGCTGAGGGAGATAAGTAGACACCTATTAATGTGAAGGTGAGGGTTTTCTGCTTCACAGTCAGGCAAATATATTGGTTCTCATCATGAGGCGACACAGGTTGAATGATGTAGGTAAGCTCCCGACGAATATACACAATGACCTTGCTGCTTTCGTTTCGGGTTTTGGACGGGATTGATTCGTAGCCGGATAGCCTGATCGGGTTTGATAATTTCGGTTCACATATTACGATGATTGGGAAACGGTTAGAAAACACGTACTGACGAAAATCGGAAATCCGTGATCTAAGTCCTCTTGCGTTCCACTGGATGACTGATGCTTCTCTGACGTCTTTGCGGAACGATTGTTGATCTCCTGCCATGACTCTACGCGAGGGAGGCGAGGACTGGGCTCAGCGCGTCCAACACCTGTAACCCGCTTCGAGCGGTTGGAGTTCCCAGGCTTCTTAGTATGTCTGCCATGACAGCGACGAGGGATCGTAACATCGGGATGATCTGTCGATCGACCCTTGACACATCCTCAACGGAAGTAGACTCGGTGGAAGGTGTAGGGCGGCGAGGCCTCGCAGGAGGCTCCTTTGCCGGCTGCGTACGCGGAAGCGTAGGCCACTCATCCGCAGCTGTGAGCTTCTCCACTTCATTTCGCTTCGTGTTTACTACTTCTCTCGTGCTCGGAGGAAATGGGTTATGCGCAACACTCTGTCCTACACGCCTCCGTCGGCGACTACGTCGCCGCCGTACCCTTTCAGCAGCCTCTCTGTGGGTTGAATTGTCCCTAACCATTTGTTTGATAATGGCGATTTCCTTCTTAATCCGAGGGCATTCCTTGGATGCAGCATCATGCGGACCATCACAGTTTCTGCACTTCAGACTTGTTGCCCGACATGCGTCTGCAGTGTGCGGCTCAGCGCATCGGGGGCATACTGTGGTGTTTGTACATACACTCTTGATGTGACCAATTTTCATGCAGTTATGGCACTGGAGTGGTTTAGGGACAAATGGTCGAACAGGATGTCGGAAGTGTCCCACTTTGACATGCGACGGAATGGAATCTCCTTTGAACATTATCTTTACACATCGGGTGTTTCCGAGGCGAAGTACATTCGCGATGAGAACTCCTTCGTTCGCTGGTTTTATGAGAGTTGGGAGGTCCGAATTTGCTATGGCCAAATCAATGTCGTAGATTACTCCCGCCGTGCAGGCGGGAGCAGTCAGTGAGCAAGATTTGCACAATTAATATATCGCTCTGGCATGTTCACGATTAGGCTAAATTTACCTAAGGTCTTAGCACTGCACGTTAAAACATATGCACTTTTTTATACAAGGTAATTTTTTTTCGAGATTGACTATTACAACTACAAAACGTTTAAACTGTATGGTTTGAGCTAAAAAAAGTGCATAGTGGTGCATCTGACTACCTATGAAGAGCCAAATGAGCACACACACGTTACCAGTAATGCACACTCTGTTCTTTATGCCTTTAAAATATTAACATCTAGGTGTGTTGCATGTGAAAAATTTCCTTCTTTGCTTCCAGAAACTGCTAAGTCTTGAGGTCAATCGAAAAGGAAACACTAAAACTGAGCAACGTCATTTCTAAATTTATGAGTGATCGTATCTTTTTATAGACACGTGGATGCAAACAATCGCTGTGCATGTCGTAATTGTTACATGTTTTATTGGTATCTTAATGCTTACCACTTGCAGAAGCCAGAAATACATATGGAGCCGAAAGAACCAAGCCTGAACATACCCACGTTGTGCCCATCCCACCCATTCTGGCTCTCGTAGACACTAGCACCACATTTCACTTTAGAGTATTAAAAAACTCTACAGCACCAGGATTCTCTCTGGTGAACATTGTAGGCAACTCTATGGGTATGATAACACGCAGTCCATCTGTCGACCTACTGTATTTATGAAAGACGGGGGTTGCCAGCACATTAAAATTTCCATACTCCTGTTGTGCGTTTGTTCTACAATAAAAAAACAGAATGCGCAGTCCATCTGTCGACCTACTGTATTTATGAAAGACGGGGGTTGCCAGCACATTAAGATTTCCATACTCCTGTTGTGCGTTTGTTCTACAATAGAAAAATCATTGGGGCTTTCAAAAACATTTAAGAAAACACAGTGCATTTCCTTTCTCCAGCACAAAAGATGAACCATATAGGAAAAAAAAAAGAAAGGTTATTGCTCTGTGACATCACAGTGACTGAGGAACAAAATTAAGAGTGCTAGCTACATTAAGTAATCACCACTGTCTGTAGTAGTGTAATCAGCACACTGCCCTGCAGTAAGCATCCTTTTGCAACACAAGACAAGCTTCTTTAACCTATTGGTATAGTGTAATTTCATAGTCTTCTAGCTTTGCAAAACATATGGTAAAAAAAATAATAAAGCAGACATGTCTAACACTGCAGTTAGGTGTTTAGATTTATGTGCAGTAATTACCTTGATGTCTTGGAATTATTATAACCTTGCACTTTCATTTTATTTTTTTAGCTTTTAACTAATAATAGTCATTAAAAGGGCCCTGCAACTCTTTGGCAGCATAGTCATAAAATTCTGCCGATTAGTAGTCAAGGCGACTGAGCACAAAGAAGCACGCGACCTGGAATTTACAGTAATCCCCGAAGTCGGCTAGAAATCTTTCTTTGAACAAATGAAGCCATGTGCCAATGAAAACTACACTGTAAGCACAAGTTCACAGACATTGTCCGGTTTCAGCATCGCGGGCGGCGTAATTACTGTGGCCCCCGCGGGATGCCGCCACATGTTTGCCACTAGCGTTCTCAAAGCCGCGTGATTGAAGGAGAAAAGAAGGTGTATTTAAGGTGGTAGGTATTTTCTCACGACACGCGCTGACGAAGGTGCGTCCCCATAAGCGTGTGCACAATGGGAGGCGCGCAAGGCTAGCTCATTAGCATTATATTCTAGTTCACTCTAATCATGGGCCCTCAATACTTTGCTATAATGGACATATAGAGGGGAGGGAGAAGCCGCAACTACCCTTCCCCGAAACCTTGCGCAAGCCATACCTTTCCCTGGGTGGCTTTCGGAGCGCTTGCTATAGTACGAAACGACAGATAAAGGGCTTGAAGCGTACGAGAAATCCCTGTAATTCAACGACGAAAAAAAAAAAAAAACTTAGGCAGTCGATTAGTAAGCCATTTGACGATCACTGAGGAAAAGTAAATGACTAAACAGGCGTGCGGCGCTCAGATTAACCATCGCTTGTTGTCTTAAAATGCATATTACAAAATACTGCAAACTTTCACGACATTGAATCCATCACACTGCAACCGGCCGCAAATTGCAACATTGCATCATCGAGCACACGAACCTCATGCACACTGCTGCACAACGTCCCTCATAAGATGGTGTTTTCGCATTGGACGCGCCTCTGATTATTTCTCATATCAAGCTATTTTGTGCGTTCTGGAAGTGATGGATAATGGAGTTGTAACTAACTGGGCATTTCCTTCATCTTCGTGTCAACTTAGAAGTGTCAGAAACGATAAAACGCACACAGTAACTCAGGTTCAATCAAAATTTCTGTCCAGTTAGTGATCCAGAGTCTAGAAATATTTCGGCGATATTTCGATTCAACCAAAGACGCTGCGCAGCTTGCACAGCGCGTGAAGCCGTGCGAAAAACCAGCCGGGAAACACCACATGCATTGTTTTTTTTTTTTTATTCACATGTACAGCGCCATGTTTGGATTACCATGACTTGTCTCGGCTTTTCAAGTGTAACTGATGTGAAATATTTGCAATCAAAGTAAAATTTTTTGGTACACTAATGCGGTATCAATTGATGTAACTTAAAGTATATCAGGCTCAAGTGAATACCTACGTAAAGCTTCTTGGTTATTGCAAAATTTTGCTTGGGGCAACACGCGGTAAATAACCGTTAGCCAATCAGAACTCGCTTGTTTTTGTATCGACCAATAGCGTTCTGGGTTTCGGAACGTGATGCGCTATAAGTCAACGTGTAGAACAACGTTCTCACATTCAAAATACGGCGCCGCTAGGGGTGGTCGGCGCACAGGCGTAGAGATTGTCAACGGTTTTTTGTGTGTGCTTTCTAGTCTCGCGACAGCGTGCACGGGCTCAAGTTTCTAGGTTTGCTTAGTCGGGTTGCGGAATAACCCGAACGAACTCCACCACTGCATCGCAATGGCCTCCGCAATCCCAACCCGAGCGGGTGCAACCGCTCCGAAAGACCTGCCAGACCTGGTTGTGGACAAGAAGGGCAAGAAAGAATACGTCCGCGGCAAGTTTCTCGGCAAGGTGAGTAGATTGCCAAGTGATACTGTAGCAGCGCCTTGGTCGTCAACCTAATCTAGAGTGCTACACAAGCGTTGTCGGCGTTCCGTCTAGTCGCTGTCACGATTGCCGTCGTTACCACCGAGGCCGTTCCGAGGACAACTTAAAAGTGCCCTCTCTACTACTAGTTAAGCCATGTAATCAAACTCCCAGTACTTCTTTTCTTCTCCCGTTAACTGGTACCGTGCAGCTACCGGAAGCCGAGAAATTTCCGGCATATCGTCGTGGCATGGAGCTTCCTCGTTATGTGCTAATTTCCCGCCGAACGTGTTAGTTTTCTTTGTCCAGAGGATTCCCAGTACCCTTGTTATCGTCCCTGTCAATTTTCGTATTCATTCAGACGGCTTTGGCACCGCATGTGGTCGTTGTTGATTATGAGCAAGCCTAATTGGCCTTTACCCGTTACTGTCTACTTCCGTAAATGCTTGCCAAGCCACTTCGGCGACACGCTCTGCATTTCATTGATTTTTCAGTTCTTTCCTGCTCGTTGTGCTTTTCTCGCACCTAATACCTGTGAAGGCACCCCAGCATCACAAATGCCATAAAAAGAAAGAAATGAACCTTGGTGTTTTTATGCCTCATTGTTGCCCCTTCAGCCTACTCATGGCGGGCCAGTAGCCTGTAGTACGAGGGACGTGCTGGAACTGTAAGCAACGAAAACGGTGTGGGAGGGGGGTGGGGCTTGGAGCGCCACATAAATGCCGCTAATGCGCGCGGAATGTCTTGTAGAAAACAGCATTAAAAAGACGCGACGAAGAAAAAAACAAACCACAGCGCTAACAACTAAATGTTCACGTTTAGTTGGTGCTGTAGTTTGTGTCCTTTCTTCGCCCTGTTTTTTTGTACTGGAAATCGTGAACCAACCAGCGCAAATGCGTACCCTATTGCAGTTGCGCATATGGTTTTGTATAACATTTATAGCACTCCTTTATTTCTTGAGTCGACCAGCTTCACTACGCTGTGATTGTCTAAAGATAACGTATGTGGCCTGTGAAGATGCAGAAAAAGCTTTTTAATTTGAACTTTGTTGGTTTCAACTGACACCCTGGTCCTTGCACTGGCCTGTGTATTTCTAAGGGAAAACTGACAATTCGAACGCATTGGTGTCTACAATGGTCAATTTGAACTGCGAGCCCCTGATCTTCAGCGTTACTCTCGGAAGTGGGCCCCTAATGATCACAGTGTATTGCAAAAGAAAATTTACTATAGATACGAAACGGCAGCAACGTGGCAGATTTTGTGCCCACAGTTCATTTTTAGATGATATTTGGCATAGGCACCAAGCACTGGCACCAGACTTTCTGCGACTAAGCTCATTGCATGCACGCATGGGGTCTTTAGAGATTCCGGACGCTCTTGGATAATCGAATCGAATATTACTTGTGGCGGACATGGCAGGGGGAAGTTCCAATGTGCAAAGCCTGTCATCGCTTTTCTGTTCTCGCGTACCTTTAGGCTTTCAAAACTTCGCTGATGTAACTGTAGTTCTTTGTGGGTGTGTTTAACAATGAGATGCCGCCCTTTACTCTTTTTCAGGGTGGTTTTGCAAAATGCTACGAGTTGACCGACAAAGCCACCAACGTGGTATATGCGGGCAAAGTGGTCTCCAAGGCACTTCTTCTCAAGTCGCACCAGAAGGAAAAGGTGACTCTCTCAGAGCGCTGATTTTCATGGGATTGGGCTCCTTAAATTTTACTGTGGGACACTCTTTTGTCCAACTAGTGTCCACATGCAAACGGTAATTTTCAAGACAGAATTGAATAGATTTCAAATGATAAACTGCTGTAATCTATATTTCCACACCCCAGTATCTCTACTAAGCTAGATATTGTCTCAATGTGCAAAGAACAGGACACAAGGCTTTGTTTTGACGTGAACAAGGCTCTATTCGCACACAAGAACAAAACGTCAAATTAGCCTCCCTTCCAAGAAGGCATCGTCCCAATGCTTCATCATCATGGCGACAGGCTTTGTAGTCACTGGCAGCCCACGGGTTCATTCGGACAAATAAGGCTTCGTATGAACCATGCACACAACTTTTGGTGCACGTCTTTGATGTCTTGAACAATGTGGGCTGTCGTGAATCGCCTCTTAGTTAACACCACTGAGACGCCGAAGGACTTTATACGGCCCAAAGTACCGTCTAAGAGCTTCTCCGAGAGCCCACGACAGCGAACTAGGGTCCAGATCCAAACTTTCTCTCTTAGTTCATAGGAGACTGGTCGATAACGAAAATTCTAGCGCCTTGTGTCATAGTCCTGGTGGCGATAAATACTTACGCGAGCCAGTTGGCGGGCTTCTTCAGCAAACTGGGTTATGTAGTCGGCACTTGTTTTAACGCCATCACTTTCATGCGGCAACATAGGGTCGAGCATGGATGTGACGTCGCAGCTATGAAGAAGACGGAATGGTGTCATGGGTGTTCTCTTGCTGTGCCGTATTGTAAGCGAAACTGACATAAGGCAGTATCTCGTCCCAGTTTTTATGGTCTACATCAACGTACATGCAAAGCATATCCGCAAGCGTTTTGTTCAGCCGTTCCGTCAGACCATTCGTTTGTGGATGGTATGCCGTTGTACGCCAATGAGATCTTTCACTTAGGCTTAAAACTGTGCGTAATAGCTCGGCTATGAATGCTTTTTCCTCTGTCAGTTATTACTACAGATGGGGCTCCGTGCCTCGGGACTATATTCTCAATGAAAAACCGGGCTGCTTCACTTGCTGTGCCCCGCTCCAAAGCTTTCTTTTCGGCGTAGTGAGTAGGGTAGTCCGTGACTACAATTATCCATTTGTGACCAGCAGCTGAAGTTGCAAATGATCCTATAAGATCCATTCCGAGTTGAGCGAATGGAGTTTCGGGTACATCATTGGATGGAAGAGCCCTGCTGATTTGATGGCTGGCACTTTCCTACGTTAGCACTCAAGACAAGTCCGAACGTGCTGTTGGACAGTTGCCACCAGTCTCGGCCAGTAATACTTCTGTCTCACTTGGCATAGGGTTCGTGTGTGGCCTAAATGACCGGATGTCGGTTCGTCATGGCACGCCTCTAGTATTTCTTGCCCGAGTGGTGTTGGGACGGCAAGTAGTTGTTGCGGCTCGCAGAAAAGTTTGAAGTTTACTTCACCACAGTGTTACACCATACGATGTGTGGTGTGGAATGCGGGAAAAAAGCTGCGATAAAAACGTAGCTTGACTAGCCCCACATTCCATCAATACAAGGCAGACAAAGTGACAGCATTCATAAAGTCCTGGAAACAACTAAACAGACACAAATACATAGTTTAAAGTGGCACCAATAAGAAATATTGCATACATAAACTTTTAAGAAATGTTGATAGGATCGCACTCTTTGAGGAAATACGAAAAAATAGAAATAAGCAGAACATAAAAACAAATTTTTGGAAATGGCTAAATCTCTCTTGCGTCATGAAAGTAAAAATATATTCGACATATCCTGTCGTGAAAGAAGGCACAATTGTTCCAATGATAAATTGAATTTATTTAGTATGTGTGGGAGTGAATGTTTCAGCATTTGTAGACCATAGTTTGTTCGGCATCGAGGGACCTTCCAATAATCACTCTGTCTAGTAGGTAGAGACAAGGTGCTGAGCTCTAAGCATGCTATGGAGATAAGATTGTTACTTCCTTTGTTAATTTCAGTTTTTAAAGATGCTAGTAAACAATATTCATACATGTTGTTAAACCTTATTACTCTGGAATTGTTGAATAAAGACAAGGTATGTGCATTATATTCGGCATTTGCAATAGAACGTAATCCATTTTTTTGTAGAGTGGGTAATTTCTGCTAAGACTGCAAGGTGCCAGTACCCCACACCAAAAGACCGTAGTGTAACTGGGAAGAAAAAAGCGTGTTGTATATCATTAGCATCTGAGTAGTCCGTAAAAATGACTGACATCTCCTAAGCATGCCTAGTACCTTACTTAGCTTGTTTCTTACCATTTCGGTTTGTGAATCCCATAACATATTCTCATGAAAAAGCAATTCCCAATGTTTTAGCAGTCAAAGAAAAATCAATCACAGAATCGTGCAGGTGTAGTTTTGAAGTAGCTTTGTACGTTGTTCCTTTTGAACGAAATAGGACGGCTTTGGTTTTTGCACAGTTGAATTGTAGTGAGTTAGCAGTGGCCCATGCATACAAGTCATCTAGTGTCGTGTTTGCTGCTGAAATTAGGTCATTTACATCCACACCTGTCAAAAACAAGGAAGTATCATCCGCATATATGACATATTTAATTGTGTGATTTATGTTTATAATGTCGTCGACATAAGTGATAAAAAGTAACGGCCCCAATATACCTTATAAAGGACCTCGTTGCGCAAACAAAACGATGCTACCCCTCTTGCGAAGAGCTTTGGCATAGATGTGCATCCCTCCAAGAATTCAATAAGGGGTTGCAACTCGGGGTCGTCGCATTGCTGCTGTGAGATTGTAGGCGTGTTGACTACACCGACAAATGCCGCATCGTCATCATCTTCGGCATTTGCGTATTCTAATGGGGCACAAGAAAGGCCATCAACGTTTGTATGTCGCTTTCCGGCTTTATAAACTATAGCCATATCGAATTCATGAGGCTTCACCGTGCCAATCGTCTTGACGGGTCCTTTATGTTCGTCAACCAGTAAAGCGAGTGGTGATCGCCGATGACTTTAAACGGGCGGCCGTACAAATATGGGCTAAACTTCATGACCGCCCACACCACTGCAAGACACTGTTTTTCAGTGGTGGAGTAATTCTCCTCTGTACGGGAGAGAAGGCCCGTGTGCTCAGATTTGGGTGCACGTTAAAGAACCCCAGGTGGTCTAAATTTCCGGAGCCCTCCACTACGGCGTCTCTCATAATCATATAGTGGTTTTGGGACGTTAAACCCCACATATCAATCAATGTACGGGAGAGAGTCCTACTTGCATAAGCAATTACTCGTTCGGCGCCATCTTGCCACTGAACAAGCACATCTCCTAAGCCAAAATTGCTGGTGTCGGTGTGAACCGCTGTCGGAGCGTCATCGTTGAAGTGTCCGAGGACTGGCGGGTTTGGAGACGTTTTCGCAGCTCGTTGAAGGCTGCCTGCTGCTCTTCACCCCACACGAACGTGACGTCTTCTCGAGTGAGTTGTGTGGTGCAAATTGGTGGTGCAAAACGCGAAAAATTCTCACTGAAGCGCCGGTAATACGTGCACAGGCCTAAAAATCGCCTCACAGCCTTCTTGTCTGATGGCGTGGGAAAGCTTGCAACAGCGGCTATTTTGCCTGGCTCAGGCCGTGCACCTTTACTGCTGACAAGGTGACCCAGGAAAAGCTCCTCGAAGCCAAAGTGACATTTTTCTGGCTTGAGCATTAATGCCGCCGATCGTATTGCTTGAAATACCATGTGTAGTTGCTTCAAGTGCTCGTCAAATGGCTCTGAAAATACAATTACATCGTCCAAATATACCGGGCATGTTTGCCACTTGAGGTTTGATAGGACTGTGTCCATGAGCCGCTGAAACGTTGCCCGTGCTGAGCACAAGCCGAACGGGAGAACTTTAAACTCCTGAAGACCATCGGGCGTCACGAATGCTGTTGTTGTTTATCTCTTTCGTCAACTTCTATTTGCCAATATCCGCTCCGTAAATCCATTGAGAAATACCGTTGCATCGTCTATACGGGGCAGCGGGTAAACATCCTTTTTCGTAACCTGATTGAGCTTGTGGTAATCAACGCAGAAACATAAGGTGCCGTCTTTTTTCTTCACCAATACTACCGGCGATGCCTAAGGATTCAATTCATAGTTCAATTGCATAGTTTGGAGAGTGCAGTGAGCTAATCTAGTAATTCTGAGTAAGTAGTAAGTATGCTATTAGCTAATATAGTTGACTATGACTCTTGCAGAGCATGCTCCACTGCACTAGTTTGCAGTTTGAAGGTCGCGGGTTCGTATCCTGGCTGCGGCGGCTGCATTTCCAATGGAGGCGAAAAAGTTGTAGGCCCGTGTGCTCAGATTTGGGTGCACGTTAAAGAACCCCAGGTGATCGAAATTTCCGGAGCCCTCCACTATGGCGTCTCTCATAATCATATGGTGGTTTTGGGATGTTAAAACCTACATATCAATCAATTAGTTTGCAGTTTGAGATATTCGGGGTGCACATATTTGTGAATAGTGACTTGACCTATTTCATATGTTTTCACGTGCATATCAACTAGGACACAGCTGTGAGCGGTGTTTCAACCAAGCTTTAGCCTTGCCACACTGTTCCAATTTTTTTGTCAAAGCCTGATTGTTGAAAAAGGACTAGCAGGGTAACTTCTTCAGTTTTCGCTCAAGCCAGAGCATTGAATGAGGAATAGCAGTGGCATTTTCTCAATTACATAGTGTTCATTGTTTGGTCAGTTTTCAGCTGTAGTTACTGCAGGACTCGTGAATTTTGTCTCGATCGTGAACTGCACTTCGCTAGTGGGGTACGAACTAACAAAAATGCCTGAAAGGTACCAAATGATTAACAAATTTCATGGCAACTAGTTCTAAAGTGTTGTGCTGTGGTTCTTCTTTTGTCGGGCATGCATTAGGCTCAACGCAGTTTTATGCCTTGTTGGCTATTCGCAGATGGCCCAGGAAATTCAAATACACCGCAGCCTTAATCACAAGCACATTGTAGCTTTCAAGAGCTACTTTGAAGATGAAAAAAATGTCTACATCATCCTGGAACTTTGCAGCCGGCGGGTATGTATCCCTTCTATTCGTTGTGACGTGTCAATGCCGCATTATGGTATGCTTATTGCCAGCATGGTGTGCTGAGGCACAGTTGCTGCACGTAACACTAAAATCGAACTGGCAGAAATTTCAAAAAGTGTGTGAACAAAGACTGCTGTGGATTCCAGCTTTTCAAAACACTGTTACTGTTTTCACACTTAAACGCACTTGTGTAGGCTGATGTAGTTGGTAGTGTATATGATGTAGTTGGTAGTGTATATATTAAGCAACACTCTAGGATTGGTGGAATGCAAGAATCAAGCTTGTCTTTTTTTTTCAGTCAACCTAGCCCTGATATCAGCCAATTGCACCCACCACAGTGATCTATTATGATTATAGTGCTGAACGGTTGACCCGAAGGTTGCAGGATCGAATCCCAGCCACGGTGACTGCATTTTGATAGAGGTGAAATGCTATATAGGCCCATGTGCTTGCACATCAATGCAATTTAAAGAACACCACGTGAGCATAGTTTTTCAAGCTCTCCACTATGGCACTTCTCATAATTATATCATGGTTATAGGATGTGAAGCCCCAACAATTATCAGCCAATATGTACTTTTTTGCAGTGCTCTATGTTCGCATCTTTAACCCTTAGGGAGCTACTATTAGATGCCCTAATGCATTACTGTGGCTGCGTTCCCAAGCGCAGGGGATGTGACTGAAACTTCATCTTTCTAGAGCCTTATGGAAATGCACAGACGTCGCAAGACGCTCACCGAGGGGGAGGCACGCTACTTCCTGCACCAGCTCCTGCTTGCGTGCAGATACCTCGTGCAACAAAAGGTTATTCACAGAGACCTCAAGCTGGGGAACCTTCTACTCAATGACAAGATGGAGCTCAAAGTGGGCGACTTTGGGCTTGCGACCCGCTTGGACTTTGATGGCGAGAGGAAAAAGACTCTCTGCGGCACGCCCAACTACATTGCTCCTGAGATACTATCCAAGAAAGGCCACAGCTTTGAGGTCGACATCTGGTCTATCGGATGCATTTTGTGAGTGTTCATGCAGTGTTTTACTGTTTGCTGTGGTTGTGTCTGCACCTGCAGTGCGATACAATACGTCCGTGGTATGCGAAAAATCGGGGAAGCGCGAGCAAGTCTGATGGCTATTGGTGTACAGCAGACTTCCTAAATGGCATAACTATTTTAACGTTATAGTGTTAGGGAGCTTGTTTCGCAGAAATTTCGATGTCAGCGTCATTGGGTGTAAGCGAAATGCGTGTTGCCTGTAAGCGAGAAGTTAAGATATAGATGCAAATAAATGAAATTTTTTGGTCCAGGTGAGAATTGACACAGGCCCTCTGCTTTGCAAGCAGCTGTTTACCATGAAGCTTGAAACTGCTTCGAAAAAAAAAAAAACAACTTGAGAATGGTGAGGTAGTGTGAGAAGTCTCCTTAACGCATGTATAATGCTGCACGGCAGAAGCATAGTTCCACCAGGCATCGAAACAAGTGACTTGTGCCACGGGTGAGTGCAAGTGCACGTCGCGTGGTATGGACGCAAACGTGCACTTTGTGAATTTGCAACAAGAAAGATTTATAGCAAAGTGGGCACTCGGCAACTTTGCATCCAGCACTCTAAAATTGTTTGAAACTGTCAATGTTACGTGCACATTTTTTTTTCTTGCAGTATGGTTGAAGGCAGTTCGTATGGGGCCCAATGTTCCAAATAAAAAAAAAAAAACTTTGCATTCTGCTCTGCAAGGCAAAGCTTGAAAGTCATCCAAACTTTTTTTAATGTAGAGAAGATGCTCCTTCACTAGTTATTGTCCAAACTATGGATCTTTAGGCACTTACGAGGCTTGTGGAAGCAAGCGATTGGTGGATCAAACCAGCAGTCTGGTTGTATGATGGCCCTACTTGTGACAAGAGCATGCAAGATTAAGTTCAAATGGTCTTTGACAGTCTGCATTGTATATAGTGGGTGCAGGCATAACCAAGTGCTTACTTTACCGCTTCCGGAATGCACCAGTGACATGCCTGGGTACCTACTGGGGCTGTCGCAGCCCACTGTTACATTGTGCTTGAGCCCACTCGGTTTGATCTCAACATGCCAGTGTGGGCAATTTCAGCTGCAGGTGAAGCTAGTAGTCTTTCATGACCACGAACAGGGAGCAAGGTGTGCAGATGTTCTTTGTTAAAAAGTTATTGCCAGAATCGTGCACGCACTTTGCGACTTCTGTTGTGTCTGGCTGGCAAGTGCCATCCAAACACTTACACGCCCACAGATATATTTTAGTTATTATTCTACGTACAAGTTCTACTTCACTATTGACGGTTTTGCGGGGCACGCACAGTTAACAATTGAGAGATGCTGTTGAAATTTATTATTATACCTACAAGTTCTACGCCAATATTGGCTGTTGAAATTGTGATGGGTCGTTGGGGTGGCATGGTTACGTTTCGTTGAAGCTGTGAAGCAGGCAAGTTTTATTCATTGGCAGCTAGAAGTACAGCAGAAATAATGTTGACCTTCCAAGTGTGTTCTTGTTTAGTGAGGTGAACCTCTTCAAGTTTTTATTTTTTTTCCGTTTTTAAGGTCACTGGCTACTTTATCATACAACTGTCCCCTTTTCTTGTAGGTAGGCCAATGCACAATATTGCAAAGCAGCGGACATGAGATTGAAGACAAAAAATGAGAAACTCCTTTTTTATTGGACGGAAATAGTGGCAGGCATTTTTTGTACCACGAAGTCACAAACTTAGACTTGTGCAATTTCCTTTTCAGCCTGCTTTCGCGAATGCAAGAAATGTAAGCCCGGCGTCCTCGGTGTTCGAAACACGAGGAAAATCTCGCTTTCTTGCTGCATCACCTACATCGGCTGCACCTAATGTGAAATTTTCTTGCTCCGCACAACACTATTTCCCAGCTATTTCCTAAGAGACCCACTCATGAACGTAGCGTGTATTAGCGCAGTACATAAAAGAAAGGGACACGACACAGACGTAGAGATAGGTATAGGCGCTAAACTTCCAACTGTTTATTTCATGCCAATCACACCCATTTTATACATCCTCGACAAAGCACAACTCATCTTGCACTTGTTCTTAAACCAAGGAACGTCATTTCCTTTCCTGACAAGGAAATCGATGACGAGCTTACACACAAATGGCCTAATTCTTCTATAATTCTTTGATATATATATATCTCGCGTGTGAGCCGATCTCTAGAACGACCGATAACTATGCAAATATACAGATCAGGGGAGCACCCACAGCCTTTGCAGTGTGCCGCCAGGAATCATCCTGCCATAAGTTCATTTCTCGCGTTATAGTAGTGCTCGCGTAAGCTGTCATCGGACATCGTTTTGTTTGCTCAATATAGTACATCCCGCCTGGGCAAACAAAACAGTTTAGCGCCTACCTATCTCTACGTCTGTGTCGTGTCCCTTTCTTTTATGTACTGCGCTAATACACGCTACGTTTATTGATGACCAACTCGCCCGATCAGCAACCCTTCCGAGATCCACTGAATCTGCTCGTAAAATATATTGCGCTTCGAGGGGCTTACTTCTTTCACTTGTACTTGGGTTGCCTTGCCGCAATGGTCTAGTGGCTAAGGTACTCGGCTGCTGAGCCACAGGTCGTGGGATCGTATTCTGGCTACGGCGGCTGCATTTTCGATGGAGGCGAAAATGTTGTAAGCTCGTGTGCTTTTATTTGGGTGCACATTAAAGAACTCCAGGTGGTCAATTTCCGGAGCCCTCCACTACGTCGTCTCTCATAATCATGTGGTGGTTTTGGGACAGTAAACCCTACATATCAATAATCATTAGCACTGTCTATTGCAAGTATATTCTTCTTTTGCTTCCTTATAACCAATATTTCATTATATTGAGGTTCGTTAGATCTAAATTTGAGTGTAGTACGTTAGGCATGCGCACACAGTTTCGCTTGCCCCTCTTTTTTTTTTTTTTTTTTTTTCAGATTAGGTAAGGGACCGTCTAGCATGGTGGAGCAGTGGTTATGGTAGTCGGCTGCTGACCTGAAGGTCATGGGTTCGATTCTGGCCATGGCAGTCGCGTTTTCGACGGACGCTAAATGCTGGAGGCCTGTATACTGAGCGATATCAGCACATGCTAAAGAAGGCCAGATGGCTGAAATTTCCGGAGCCTTTCACTGCAGCATCTCCAGTAAACATTTTGGCATGTAAAATCCCTCATAATATTAGGCAAGGGTTCTTGGTTTGAAAACTTCAGAAGCATGGTAAACGGCTGATTCAGAGGAGTCGTATCAGATATGTAACAGCTAATGCCTGTAAAATGTTGGGCTTCCTGCATAGGAACGCAAGACGCTTTCAGATAGAAACAAAACAACTACTGTATCAAATGAACGTCCGGCTATAATCGAGTCTGCTTGCACAGCTTGGGATCCGTGGTTGAAACAGGACATCAAGGCAATCGAAAGGGTACGAAATTTAGCTGTAAGGTTTGTTCTCAATAATAATAGATGGCAATTTAACATCTCTCTTGCAAAAGAGAGTTTAGGGCGGGGAAGCTCTGGAAATGCTGAGAAAAAAGTTAAGATTAAAAATGTTTCATGCATATTCAATTCCAAAACAGGTATAGATAGAGATAAGTACATATTTTGACCGCATTACTCCTCAGCACGACTTGACCATTCTAACAGAGTTGGAGCATACAAGTGCAGAACGGAGTCGTTTAGGAACACATTTTTTCCCTGCACCATTTCGCAATGGAATCTTCTCACTAATGATGTTGGCATCGTCACCTTTAACTCTGCCTTCTACTCTTTGTTATGATGTTATGTGCACTTTAATTTTGTTGTCATCAATAACTCTTGAGTGTTGAGTCCAAGGCTTGATATATTATCTTTTTTTTTTTTTTTGTTACAAAACCTGTATGTATGTATTCATTATCAATTATGTATTGTGTAACCCCCCCCCCCCCCCTCTGTATTGCTTTTTAACGCTGAGGGTACTTTTATAAATAAGTAAAAAATAGAGCCCTAGATGCACATTCTCGCTGCTTCTGGTGCCTGCAGGTTCACCCTTCTTGTCGGACACCCTCCGTTTGAGACTCCGACCTTGAAGGAGACGTACATTCGCATCAAGAAAAACGAGTATCATGTACCTCCGTCGGTGAGCTCCTCTGCCAGGAGCCTCATCCGGAAAATGCTACACCCAGAACCAGAGAAGCGTCCCAACATAGAGGCCATTTTGCAGGACGAGTTTATGACTAGTGGTGAGTCTCACTGCACGACAAAACCTCGATGGAAACCAACAGAATGCATCGGGAGCTTTAATTCTAGTCTTCTGACTGTATTGTAGTTGCGATGTAAATGCGAAGAAACTAAAATGGCATAAAAGACATTGTGCTGCCGATTGGGGATCGAACGAAAAACCTTTAGATAACATGCTCAATGATCTTCTTTCATTGACGCATATTCCCTTCTGTCGTCCATTCAACACGTGGATCTCGTTCCAGCAGACTTGCTACCTTTAGGCAGCATGCAGGGGCTTGTTGGTCAGTTGCCAGCTCGTTATAGGCTCGCTTCGTACGTGATGCCGGCAAAAGAATGTTCCACACTCGCTGTCACGACAAGTGACGCTGACGTAAGCTCGGTTATACGTACTCGAAAAAGAGGACGAGAAGACAGCTGCCGCCGTAGCTCAATTGGTCCGCTCCCTGCCTGCGAAAAAATGCCTTTTTGTCGCCTTTTTCACATTTACGTAGCAATCGCTGCATATGTACCCTACCCTTTCTTTGGATTATATATTTGTTCTCGTTAAGGTTGCATGCAACCAACAAACCGAGCCCTTAAATTCTTGTTTCATTCATTACCAGAGAGGGTCTCGTCCTGGAAGACTTGCCTCGAGTAGTATGCGAGGAATTGTCAGCTGTCAGTTTGTAAAAAGACCACGTCCTACGTGATGCCAGCAAAAGAAGTTCCCATTCTGAGCTGTAAAGGTGTCGATGTATTTTTTTAATATTCAAATAAACACGCACAAAGTTTTTACCAAAACAACATATTGTCTAACAACTTAACAAAAAGCAAATTATAAAAAATCTATGTGCAGACAAAGATAGACAGCTTTGCAGCACTCGCTTACTTCTCAGCATCTTAGTGCAGAAAACGGTATAGTTAGATCTTTTATTTGTTGTGAAATGGCATAGGTACGACCGACGGCAACTGCTCGGTAAATGGAGCTCGAAGAAAATACTGCTAAGAAAATGGAACTTGGAAGTCGTCTAGTTTTATTTTTTGTTGGAAAACGCAGCTTTGTGGCTATCATGAGCTTGGATTTGTCATATTTATGATGATGCCAAGATGGTGGCACTGTGACAAAGAAAAGCTGCACGATCTGAATTTTTAGACACAATTTTCTCGTAGTTTTTGACAAGAGCGCACTAGTAAGGTGCTTCTTTTCTCAACTTCAACTGGTTATTTTGGTCTAATATATCATTATGGCTAAAAGATGGTCTCATGATTTCAATTAAAAAAAGAAAATTTTGCATTTTGAATAAATTTCTCATTGCCACGGCCCCCCTTCAGCTTTGTTGAAATGGGTTGCGGCTTCACTGCAATCTCCTGTGTTAGTGGCACCGTAAACCACATTTGATACCAAAGTTTGCAGTTTGCATGTCGTGTACAAGCTTTTCATGAAGCGTGCCATGCATGTTTACGTGTGAAACGGCACACGGATACAAGGAACGAAGGGAACGAAAAGACAGGACCTATCCTGTCGTTTCGTTTTCTCCCTCTCTGTTTTTTTTTTTTTGTGTGCCTTGTTTTTATGCACTGCTTCACACGTAAACCTGAACTATCGTCAAACGTTCAACTTGACGGAGCGTACCTGTGCTTTCAGCTATTACGTTATGCATGCAGGACTGGTTACTTGGGAGGGGTGCAGGAAACACCCTTGTTACTTTGAAAACTGTAAGAGAACTGCAGTGGCCCTGCGATGATGGTTCCTTGACACGGAGTGACTTGCTAGCCATTAGTCTGACTCTGTTTTGTTTGCCTTGCTGTGCCGAGTGTCCATAAATTCACCACGGTGGTTGCTGAAGAAACGCAGAAGGGCTCAAGCAATGTCGTTCGTTCCAGGGCCCCTACCATCCCGTCTGCCGACATCTTGCCTAACCACCGAGCCACGCTACGACACGCTGAACGCCACCCTGACCGTGAATGGCCGCAGGCCTCTGTTGGAACGAAATGAAGGTCCCGGTGAGTTGGTTTGCGCCGTCCGATCCATCAAGTCGGAACTTGATCCCATCCAAGGTAAAAGGGAATTGTGGCTTCTCTTGTAAACAAGAGAGGAAGGTGTATAATGCCAGTATCTTACCTGTACTTGGCTACGAAGTAAAAGCCTCGAGACTTACAAAGAGGGTTCTCCGATTGAGGGGGAACACGGGTATCAAATAGCAAAAATCGGACTACACATCTGTTTGACAGTCTATGTATGTACCGCTGCAGAAAGCCACACTGCAAGCTTAAATGTACGTACATATCACTTTCATTTATCACTTTCACCTGAATTATTTTTTTAACTTATAAGTTTGTTTACAGGCCCATCTGCTGTAAGCACAGCAACTTTTAAGAGGTAACATATTGTAACAGGTGTAACCAGTATGTAGCTATAGTAACCTTTCAAACATAATGCATTGTACCAGTTATGCTCAACCGCTTCACCATTTTTGTTATTATTTAAAGTTGCGTCTGCTTCGCTTCAAACCTAAAAAGTGGCATTCAAACATGCCCATTATTTTCGGAATCGGAACTAAGGAAGTTGATTCGGTCATGACGGAAATGCTCTTTATTAACATGTGATGTAGTGTGCTACTCGGTTCAAAATTATTCGACTAAATTGCCTTTCCTCGCTTCGAATCTTCATCGAACCTTAATATTCGCCCATCCCTAGTGATGGCTTCCAGATCCTTTTATTGCGGAATTTCAAAAATTTTCAAAAAATTTTCAGAAATGATAGCTAAGCATTTAATTGGGGGAAATGCATGCGGGTCTTCATTATTCTGTTTAAACTGTTTGAAAATCTACTCTAACGTGAATTCAAAGAGTACTGAAATTGTGTCCATGTTAGAGTAGAGTACGAAAGCGGAACATAGGCAACGGGTCACATAATGTAGTCACCATCTCAAAATGGCAATGGAGCATTTTTAATGTTCAATTAGGTTCATTTCGTGCGTGTACCGTGACCCTGTGTGTGTTGTATCAGTTTTGCAAGAAGTACAGTTGATGTCCAGCTTTCACTAGGAACGTGCTCATCAAGGGTAACTTGTCTCGCATGCTCAAGACGCATTGTGCTGTTCACTGCTTCTTCGTTGGAATTCCGAGCACGTGTATTGCTACAGTTCAGCCTAAAGAATAGTAATTCCTTAAGGGTGTTGTCAAGGGTTGCTTGGCTATGCTTCTGGCGTTGTTCAAAAAGTGTTATTCCGCTATGCACCCATTTTCTCGCAGAGATAGAAGCGAAGGTGACTCCTATAAGGAACCATCCCGAGAAGGAGGCCAAGCCTGCGCAGTGCCTCAAACCCCAAAAACGTGCGTAATCGTTGTCTTTTCTTTTCTTTTTTTTCTTCTCTCTCACTGGTGAACAAACCTCAAGCTAACGAGAGATATGTAGCAAACAAATGGACGTACTAAAAGCATGGCAGGGTCCGATTTCAGTAAGCAGCTCGAAACTCCATGGTCTTGCTACAGCTATATCCTATTCTCTCTCCCATCATTCCAATGCTGTGAAACCTGGTGCGACTTCTTGAACACGATGTTCTTGCACCAGAGGATACCTTTGCACCCACGATTTCAATGTTTCTTTCTCTTTTATGCAATGTAGTGTATGCCTTTTGAGCAGTCTTGCTCGAATATTTGAACGCATATTGCTGTATTAAAATTCACTTCCATTCGAGTTTATAATGCCAAAAATTTCGAACTACTATTTGAAATAAACGAATTACTAAGCGTCTCTTAGTCTGCACATGACCCCTGTAAAGGTGGTTTTACTGCAGTGAGGTGGTGCTAAGCCGTCGAAGCACCTGCATAAAATAAATCTTCATAACCGCAAGGGCCCGCTTCTAAGTTAAATGAACATATTACCCTCGCAACCATTCATCGTTTATTTATTTTTTTAGTTTAAAAGCTTGTTACTGGCATATATGCTTTAAGTATCGGAAATATTGAAGTTTAACTTATCTTATAGATTATCATTAGCGTTTTACTAAAAGTCAAATCCTGTTATTATTCAAAATAGTTTCCACTTCCTTTGAACCAATAAGGATGGCTTTGCACAGGACTTATTTGAATTCGTCTAAAAATTATTCGACCCAAATCGCTATTCGCTTCTACGCTAAAATTCACGATTTGCACAAGCCTATTTTTGTGGCTTGAAGATCGAGTCAGTCAGACAGCTGTGAATATGTTCTGTATCTGTTATTGGTGTTTTTTTTTTTTTTTTTTTTTTCGTGTGAAGCATGGCGGTGCCATGCCTCCACCCTTGATCTGCTCGCTGCACACTTGCAATGACGAAACGTGGCTGTGCGACTCGCGGACTTGTGCAGTGTACTGACTGCGCCCCGCCACGGTGGTCTAGTGGCTAAGGTACTCGGCTGCTGACCCACAGGTCGCGAGATCGAATCCCGGCTGCGGCGGCTGCATTTCTGATGGAGGCGAAAATGTTGTAGGCCCGTGTGCTCAGATTTGGGTGCACGTCAAAGAACCCCAGGTAGTCAAAATTTCTGGAGCCCTCCACTACGGCGTCTCTCATAATCATATGGTGGTTTTGGGACGTTAAACCCCACATATCAATCAATCAAGTGTACTGACTGAACTTTGTGTGTAGCCGCCACAGCGTTCATTATTATGTGAAGGTGTGTAAAGCAGTGGTTCTCGGCTGTGGATGTGTCGGGGACCTCTTGTGGACTGATGGAAGGAATGGGGGACCCTTTGCAGCGGAGGGGAGGGAGGGGGGGTTACATAGTTAATTTAACACAACTAGAGCGTGAAACAGGTGCCTTTTATTGCTACCAAAAACATCAAACAAGCATGTAACATCACTTCATTTTGGACTGTTCCAAAATGTTCCGCTTTAAGCGTGGCACAGTCACGCTTAAAAATTGGGGTGAAGGTTTTGCTGATCGTAGAAATGGCTTTGCAGACCCCCCCCCCCCCCAGCGTCCATGGACCCTTGTTTCAGAACCACTGATATAGGGTGTGGGTATTGCCGGATTCAGTAAAGTGTTAGCACCGCCTTTCTTTCCGTGCAGCTGCTCAACCAGGCGGTTCTCAGAAGCCCGCAGCAGAGAGCCCAGCCGGCAAGGGTGCTCGGGCAGAGTGTCACATCAGTGAGCTGCAGTGCCTCCTCAGGCGCCTGGTCAATGCTCATCCGCCCGAGCTGCGCTTCGAGCGTCCTGACGAGGCGGAGGACCCGGCGTCCGTTCCAGTGTTCTGGGTGAGCAAGTGGGTGGACTACACTGACAAGTACGGTCTAGGCTACCAGCTGTGCGACAACAGCATCGGCGTGGTCTTCAACGACACCACCCGAGTCATCCTCCTGAACAACAACCTGTGAGTTCTTCCGTTGCAATGAAAAGTTAAAGAGAAGCGTTTTGGCTTGTCGCTAAATTGTCGTTCCACGATGCTTGGGGGTGGTGGGGGGTGCTACTTTTTTCTCCAAGACTCTGTAAGCTGGAGAACCCTAATATACCGAAGCCACCTTAGTTTCTGTGCTAACAAGCAGTGATGTTGTAGGTTTTTATCGGGAAAACTGAATTAAACTTGTTTCATAAGGACCTACAGATTTAACAATGCAAGCTTGTGGAAACTTTTACTGAGCCAATGATTCCAAATTACGAAAGAGTGAAAGTGTTGTTTCCGACTGGTTTTAGAGTGCTGAAGTTTCAACACGCCATTTGCTTTCCTATACAATAATACCTCGTTCACTCGAAGTCTTAAAAAGCAAGGAAAATTTCCCGACCAGCAAAGTTGGGCTAATCGTCGGGAAAAATGAGTGCTTTCCAGAAAAAATCACTACTACTTTACCGGCTCTTCAGCAGCAGTTTCTAATCTTTCTTCTCGTGCAGGTTTAGAAGAGAAAAAAAAAATTACGTGTGAGAGACTTTAACCGGCTGGGTTTTGCCGCACTGCCATTTTATTTAGCAGAGAAAAACTGCCCAATGCTCGTCTGCTTCGCGGTCGTACTTGGGCATAGGAAGGCGTCCTCCAGCTGCTTGAGGCATCGCATCGCTCGACCTTATTTCGAAGTAAGCGCAGCAAATTTCTCACCTCGGAAGATGTTGCCACCTCTCGAGAGGTGGTTCGTCATCTCTGCCGTCCCCTGCGTTAGTGGCCATTTGAACTGTTTCGGCATTCATTATTTTTCCAGTCACTGCCACATCCTGCTCACGCAGCGCGCACTCCTCAAAAGTCCCATCATTTTCGGCGGAACGTTGCCTATAAGCTTCAAGCCATCTTGACAAAGTTCCTCACTATGAAGTCATCTGTCTGTGCCGTCTCTGCTTCTGGCAAACTGGTGGCACGTGAAAACCCAGTGTGTGCAAAGCAGTCGGCGATACTCTTTGAAAAGAGTAGCAGTCATCCACGCAGCCCTGTTTGCGCGCTGGATAACGCTATTTGTCGATCGTGCATTTCTAAAGCAGCCAATTGTGAGCAACGGCAGCTTCTCTTCACCTAGGGCATTCGCCCCGTAAAGAACAGTGACCCTGTCCCTTCGTTGTTTTACTCCCGAGCACGCTCCACCCTTCGGTGTGAAGGTCTGGCTTGGCAAGATTTTATAAAAAAGGCTGCCTCATCAAGGTTGAAAATGTCACTGCTGGCATAACTCTCTCGCAACTCAGCGAGCCGGCTGCTCCACCAATTGTCTGCAGTAGCTGAGTCGACAGTGCCGCTCTCGCTGTGCACTGACTTGCACACCACACTTTTTTTTTTTGAAGTGGTCAAACTATTTTTTGCTGCAACAGCAATCTGTGTGCCCCATTTGCAAGGCCAGAGTGTGTGCCTTCTCCATCCTTATTGCTGGGTAATGATACTACAAACGCCGCTTCAACGTCTGGGAATTTGGTCCTTCGAACCCGCTTCCCCTGGCTACATAAGCTCTGCTGAAATTCATTCAGCACCTTCTGCTTGTTTTTCAGCACCATCGAAAGCATAGACAAAGGGATACAGAGTTCCTGCGCGATACTCGATTTCATTCAGCCTTCTTTTTCTACTTCCTTAATTAGGGCAACCTTTTTTTTTTTTTTGCGTTAGCGACTTGCACTGCTTTGACGCCATGCTTATTGCACTCAGTCTAAGTTGCCACGCCTCACAGTCTGCGAAAAATCTACACCGTTCGGCTTGCGCAGATGAATGGCAATCGCACCTAGGGGAACTCACGAGCACCACACGTACAGTCAGCAAAAGATGTGTACCGCGGGGTTTGCACAGATGAACGGAAATTGCGCCTCCCTGCTCAGTGCATATGTCGCATGACATGCCACAAGGTTGCTTGACGAAGTTGATGCGTCTTTGGGCTGAGACTTCGCGCAGTTCGCGTTCTTGGAAAACATCGACATAGTGGCAGGCACGGCAGCATCGCGCGAATCTTGTGAAATGCTCCGGCAATGGAATTGTCATTCCACTCCCAGTCAAACGTTCGAGTTATCCACAATCGAATCCAAAAATACTTCGAGATTTGATTGATTGATTTGTGGGGTTTAACGTCCCAAAACCACCATTTGATTATGAGAGACGCCGTAGTGGAGGGCTCCGGAAATTTTGACCACCTGGGGTTCTTTAACGTGCACCCAAATCTGAGTACACGGGCCTACATTTCCGCCTCCATCGGAAATGCAGCCGCCGCAGCCGGGAATCGAACCCGCGACCTGCGGGTCAGCAGCCGAGTACCTTAGCCACTAGACCACGTCGCATCTATATTTTCCCCTTTATCTAAATACTTCGAGATAAAGGGGAAAATATAGATGCGACGTATAGGCAGGTGTTCGATGCCACGGAAGATTTTGACTTAAGCCGATTTTTCGCGATATGCGAGTCCGAGTTGAGGTATTACTGTATAGTGAAATTTTCGAGTTTATATGTAATGAAATCGGCAAGAATAATTTTTCATTGTAAACCGATTTAGTGTCAGAACATTAACTGGAGTGATTCTCCTTATTAGTATCGGCGAGTGGATTCAAACAATGCGCAACTTTTACGTTTATACGGGTTTGAATAGCTGAAGGGATCTGCATTTGAAAATGTGCCTGCTTCCACTGTTTCTCTTTGTCTCGTTTGGCCAGGAGCGTGACATACGTCGACGAGGACTGCATTGAGCACTACCACTCCTTGGATAACTACCCGCCATCACTGGAAAAAAAGATTACTCTTCTGAAATACTTCTGCACGTACATGAAGCAGTACCTTCTCATGACTGGCGAGGATGTCAGCCCCAGGGAGTGTGATAATCTGGTCAGGCTGCCGTGCCTAAGAACATGGCTCCGAACACGGTCGGCAATCGCATTCTATCTGACCAACGGCACAGTCCAAGTGAGTCATTACTGAAAATAGCATTGTACGTTTTTTTACTTTCAAGTTTAATTTGGTTCGACTGTACTACGAATTTGCAATCAGTAGCTTACGATCCCCTTATCATGGCTGGAAACCTCGTTTGCATGAGGGCACAATGGTTATTTATTTAGAGATGTTTTTAGAGCGACCAGTCTCAGTTTGAGTTTCAAAGAGCTCTGTGCTCTTTGAAACTCAAACTAAATACTGCTGGCCACATGACCACACGCGAAGCCGCAGGCACAGAGAAGAAACCAAAGGTGACGCAAGTAAATGCAAACCAGCCAACGCAAATTCGTGGCATAGGTTTGACATAAAACCTCCTGTGTTGACATAGAAATTCGGCATCTGCATCTCGCTTGGTTGTGTGGCATGCTCTATAAAATTGATTTTAAACATGTTCTAGGCTATATTTGCCCTTGATATCTCGTAGATGCTGTGCATGTTTCCACATAAATCTATCTCGCTCATTATTTCTCCTTCAAAGTTTTGTGTCGGTGCTCCTTTTAATACAATTTAGACTCCTGCGGTAGCAGCATAGACTGCATAACAAGCCACACCGAGTGCTGAAACTTTTTGTTTTTTCAATGCAACCTCATACCCAACTTCAGTCTCCTCTTTGAGAAATATATAAATGCACATTCTGTGCTACTTGCTGTTCAGGGTCGAAATTCTTGTTTTCTGCATTCTCTGTGTTAAATTTCAAACAGTAGGGACGGAATCCGAGTGTACTCTGAAACGGTCTTTCCTTGCTTCTTTTCAGATCAACTTTTTCCAGGACCACACGAAACTGATCTTGTGCCCGCTCATGGCGGCAGTGTCGTACATAGACAACAACCGGGTCTTCCACACCTACCGTCTTGAGACGCTGCACAACGGCTGCCCACCCGAGCTTTTCTCTCGGCTGAAATATGCACGGACTATCCTAGACCGTCTGACCAGCTCGTCGTCTTAGTCTGGCCATCTTCCTAGTTCTTTAAGGCGTGTGTTTTTTCGTGACCAAGGTATTGGAGTTTTTTTGTCGGTGGAAACTCCTTGCCAATGAAGCTGTACATAGCTCTTTTTATACTGCATGCATCAGTGTTTTTAAGTACTTAGCATCTCTCTCGCCCAAGTGCTCATTTTAATTTCCGATGACAACGGGCTGCTAGTTTCAGCTGTACAAATCGCCGCACCTTCGCTTTTTTTCATGCTTTTTATTTCTGTATTTTTCATAAAGTGCGAAGTTGTGCATTGTGCTATTGCAATAGACATTGAGCATTAAAAGGGTCTTGAAAAGAAAATTAAGCTGCTCGGTTGCAATTTTCTTTTCTTCAATAGCGATGAGACATGCCATGCAAAATTTAGTCTATAATTAATAACACCCTTTGAAATCGTAGTTTGCCTGGACTCCGAAGCGACCACGTGGCACTACCAGTTGCCATAGGAATTGACGTGTGACGTCAGTGTAATATCATGCTACAAGAACATGAAAACACGGCATTGCCTTTTGTTTGCTCTGAAATAATGAATTTATAGGAACCTAGAAAAGAAAACGTAGCAAGCGATTTGCTTGGTCCCGTTTTTTCGTACATCCGGGCTCTGTCACGTTGCATTCTCTCCTTCCCGGTTGCCTTCACTCGCTCAGTGCTGCCTCCCTGATTTTTCTTACTCTTCAAGTGACATCAGCGGTACAGTTCAGGCAACACCTCCTCTATTTTTTTATTTCTTTTCATTGCCAGTGCAAGCGCTCTCTTCTCAATGGGAGCGATCAATCTGCTTCAGTTCAGGCAGGGGTTGTGATGAGGCTACACATAACAGGCTCGACCGCTTGCTTCACACGTGCATTTGAGCACTTTCCCACAAAGGTGGGATAGACGTGCTTTCCCTCTCCGATATCGTGCGTCTGTCCGATTTGCTCCTTTGTGGTCCTTCGCTGTGGCTCGGAGCAATGCCCACGTAGTTGAAAATATTTGGAGAACTTTTCATGGCCCTTTTGATGTTTCTGGCACCAGTATTTCTAGGTCCGCGTCGGCGGCTTCAATGAAACAATTTTTGATAGCATTGTCCTGTTAGTGTTCCTGTAATTTGCTTACTGGTGTTAGACCATAACCTCCTGTTTTGCTTTGAAGGGCTTGAGATTTATTTATTCTATGCAGTAGCATTGAGACGTAACAGTTTTGTAATGCTTGTGGGAATATGAGAAGCCCGAGGATTACATACGGAGAAAGGTTCTCCATTAACGAATGCTGGTGCAATTTTACTTGTATTCAGTCTCCCTGTACTGTAGTATGTATGGCACATGTGTAGTTTAATTGCACCATATGCATTGGCTAACCATGTGGAGGCTTATCTGGATTCAACAGCTGACAATCTGATCTTCCGGCACATTGCAGTGACGCTATCATTTCTCGTTTCCTCGCTTAATGGAGGACAAGAATGATTAAGTAAAAGTGATCACAGCTGTATCTGAAGCAGATGCCATGATATCATGTATGTCTGCGCTCTACTTTATATTAAGAACGATTTCTGCAACCCTGCTTTCTTGTCGATGTCTGCAACCACACTGTTGTTGCTTTGAACACTGATTAGATTGTGTAAGTTGAGTGGGAAGCAGGGTGTGGAAAGACTGATTTGAAAATAAAGAGTTTTATACTAAGTGAACTGCAGCTATTTTTCATCTAGGGGACTCTAATGGGAATACAACTGTGCTGCACAAGTGTCCACTAGGTTTTATTTGCTTTGCAGAAATTATGTAAGTTAACAGTTTCGCACTAGCAGGAGGTGCGGTACATCTGCTTAAAGGAACCCTGAAACGGTGTTCGTACCATTGAGAGTCCTAGCAGACCGCAAAAATAAAAAGCACCAGCAAGCACAAGTGAAGAAACTTGGACATAGGACTAGCAGCAGGGTCTTAATAGCCTCTGTAGTGTAAATAAGTCTTTTTAACTATCTCAACGGAGTCAAGTTCTTCCATGGCTTCTCTGTGCCATATCCCACATATTTTGGTGTGAAAATCGGGCATAGACCAACTGACGGCTGCGAGTTGCCTGGGAGAAGTGGGGAAGCTTCTAGCGAAGCAGACTTCATGACGATCCTTGAATAGCCGGATCATTGAGGCAAGTGCCCTATTTCACACTGACTCTGCAATGCGCGAGCAGTTTGGTCTATCTACAATAGGCTGAAACAAAAACAGTTGAACAAGCTCAATACTGAATTGGAAAGCCTCATCTCGGACAAGAACTTCCAAGCAGAGTACGATGCCATCTTGTGAGGACAACGCGATGCAAACCTTTGCCGAGCTCCCTAGTCAACAGATCCACATTCCGAGTACCCAAATAGAAAATAGATCGGGATTGACTACCCATGCAATCCCTACACCATCGGAGAGGACAGTAGCCAAGCTGCCAAACTATCGCATTCTTTTCTGGAAATGTGTGGAAGTGGACGGCCTTCTGGGAGGAGTTTGTCCCAATTGTACACAACGCCCCTCTGTGAATATGATAAAGAAATTCCATTGTTTGCGACAGTTTTTGAAAGAAGACTGCTTCAGAGGTGGCCTGTCTTCCAACAACTGAGGCACGTTATGACATTGTAGGCACGCTACAGGAGTCCTTCAGGGACAGAAATACTTCACAAGATTGTCAGCTCACCTCCTGTTTGAGCATTTGATCACACAAGAGCCTTCCGACAGCTCTGCAACCACGTGCTCGTTAACATCAGACAGCTTAGGCTCGATGTGTTTAGAGGTCTTCATTGATGCTCGGCGACACACTTAGGGCATTAACCGTAGACGTCTTAGTTCTGTACCATCAGACCTGTGCTGCACAAGGGGCAAGTAATACTATGTACCATGCTGCTGATTCTTTGGGACTAGACAGGCTACTGAAGCTCCATTCAATTGAACCAGAGAGCCTCGAGAAGAATGATCGCATGGACAGCAGCGGTCAGCATGAGTCGAACCAGTCATTCCGAAGTATACCAGTCTTTATAACAGTTTTACTTTCTGAGTTGTTTTGGCCGATTGACCCCGGCTAGGTGCAAGTCAGCATCAGGCGAGTCTAAATGACGTGAATTCGCAAAGGATTCTCCATGAAATGAGTGCGGACACAAGCACCATTATTGCTTTCACTTGTGTCCGTGTGTTGCCTTCTTGCGTCTATTTTTTTCTTGTGTGAATCGTCTAATTGTAGTACCTGCCACAAATTATGTGGGGGCCTTCTGTGAAGGTTGCTTGTCCACCGCCAGGCATTGTTATTCTGGTACGTCCTTTGCTACAACTGAGGTGTCAAAGTTTCAGCAATCAACATCACGTAAAGCAACCCACCTGAAAATGGGTAACTGCGAATGCAACTGGTTTTAACTGGAATGAACTGGGATCAACTGGTTCCAATAGGGAACAACCTGAGAAGGAGCTGGTTCTAGCTGGGATTGAACTGGGCACCACTGGTCCCAGTTTGAGATCAACTGGTTTAAGCTGAGATTTAATTGAGAACATTTTCGTTTTAACTGAGAGCGACTGGTTCCACTTGTAGACTGGCTGCTTCCACTTGGGATCAAACTGGGACAATTTTTCTTAGACTTCGAAGTGATTGATAACAATTGGTAATTATTTCAATTCTAGTGGAAACAAGTTGATTACAAACAAGTTGTTGCCGTGGTTCTAGTTGGGAACAACACTGGCTTCTTTTTCGGACACTACCCCATTACGGCTTCCATGGCATGGTGCTAACAAAAAACTAACAGGTCAAGGTACAAAATTAACTTTATATCTGGTACCTGCTCTATAAATTATGAAGTACCTCAGGGTTTCATTCTTTGACTGGTTTTTAATTTATATAAATGACATTTTGAAAATAAGGGATGCAAAAATATAGTATTATATGCAGATGACATTGATGTTTTTTTTTGGATTAATTTGTGACATTATTATGCAGGTGAATAGATGGTTAGAAAAATTTTACTTTTGGTTCAATGCAAATAAACTTGAACTTAATACAAAGGAAACACAATTTGTTTTATTCAAAGCCAAGTGAACGGGATATTAACAAACCACACCGCTGAAAAGGCAGGGAACACTAATACGACAGAATGCTGTAGGCCCTTGTGCTCAAATTTGGGTGCACGTTAAAGAACCTAGGGTGGTCAAAACTTCCAGAACCCTCCACTACAGCGTCTCATCATCATATGGTAGTTTTGGGACGTTAGTTTTGGGACTTGTACCATATAACTGTTCTTGCAGTTAAGTAAATGTTGGATTACACAATGCACTGTGTCACGGGTCCCGTTAATTAGGGAGGCGATCGCCGGGCTAATTCCAAGGGCCGAAGTATCGGCCCCCCGAACCGCACCACGAAAGCGTGGACAATTTAGAAGTGGTCCTTTTTGGCGCGCCAGCGGACGCCGGCTGTGGCCCAAAGAACAAGTCAGAGCCGAGAGTTGATAAACAAAACAGAATTATATTCTCAAAAATGGCAGATCAAAACAATACACAAGTATGCACACTCCACAATACAATATGTCACCCACCAAACAACGTACTACACAGTACAATCAGCCACACTCGAAACAACGGACACTGACAACAATACGCACTACAATGCAGTCGCATGCATTGAACAACCAAGACACTTAAAGACTAAAGAGATAGAAAACCTATTCAGTCCAAAGTTCTTGGAACAAAAGTCTGGATGATACTCTTCCGAGAATCACTCACTCAAAGTCCAGCGTTGTTGTCGTTCCGCTGCCCCCGAAGTTTCTGTTCCAGGAAACCTCACGTCTTCAATAGGCCACTCTCCAAGCTTCAAGCTTTTTCGCCGGAAACACGTCTGCTTCACACACGCAGCTGTTGCCACGCGTCTTCGCTCGATGGCGGTAAACACACACTCTTGCCTGTAGCTCGAGTCGTCACCCCTCGGTGGAAATCATCTTCTTCTCCTGCTTTGTCTCCACGGACAAAACCTTCGCCGACTACACGGCGGAATCCCTACGCGCTCTGGCGCTAACTTCCGTCTTCTCCTGCTCTCTCATCTCGGCTGCTCGATTAAATACCTTCCGCGCGCGATTCCAAAAAATTCTCATCATTTCGTCGGCGCGATGCGCAGCGAAGGCTGGGGGAAAGGTCGAGACGATACGAGGGCCGTCCGCGACGGATGACTCAACCCGGCATCACACGCCTCTTTCCATCGAGAAATTTCGAGTGCTTGCTCGGGCGCCGATGTGGGGTGAGGAGGTTCGTCGGCGAAGCCACGCTTCCGAGGGGAGAGGCGCGCGACCGGGGGGGGGGGGGGTCTTTGGATGTTTGTTTTCATTTTCTTTTTTTTATCGTTGACCTCGCGGCGTCACTCTGGCGCTTCATCGCGAGACTTTGGCGGCGCGCCCTTTTTGAGCGCTCGTTTTGTGACACACTGTCCCAACTGCTGTCTGGGTGGCATAGCCTAATCGGGCACCTTTCGGGCCTCTTGCTGCATCTTTTAAGACAATTGTAAATTGTCTTGAATAATGTCTGAATAAAAAAAAGCATTGACTAGCAACCTAGTGTATCCAACCACGATCAAACTGGAATTATCCAGTTGTACTGTAAAACAATTGAAAGGAGGTTGGCTAGTTGGCACAGGTCAGCAGAAAAATTGTAGCTGTCTCAGGCACTTTCAAGAAGTATATAATTTTCCCTCGGGGCTCACTCAGAGTCGCCAAAAATTTCCTCAACGAAACACTCTCTCACTAGGACTCTGTGCCAAAAGTGTTGCCCACAGCAGAAGAAAAACTGAAGGACGTGAAGCGCCTGAGCTTCGGAACGTCGACGAGAGAGGCCAGCGTGGCCGGTGAACCGAGCAGCGGTTCCAGCGTGCGGGTTGGTGTTCGGAGTGCAACCAGCTACCGAAGCTGTGGGCACGGTGCTGAGTTTGCTCGAGTCCGGCACAACCGCCTGCTGAGAGCGTGGCCTTGGTACCACGCCAGTGCGCCGTCTTCGCACGCTTTCCTGAACGAGCAGTTCCAGGTCTCTTCGTGGCCTTGCGTCGTCCCTGCTGCAAGCGTGCGTCAGCTACAAGGTCATCAGTACCGTGAGTGATGCCTACGGACTCACAGACTCCGTACTAGACAGGGCGCGGGAACATTTGCGTATGCTTACTGCACTACAAGAAAACCGACCCTTAGTGGAAGTGTAATTGTGTATAGCAGCGTGTAGCAAGTTTATGTGGGTGTACTTGTTTGTTGGCTAGTATGTCTGTGAGCGTTTTCTTGTCCTTGACGTTGTCTGTGTCTGAGGGCCCACGACTAAACTTGCTAAACATTTCCTCACTTGCGCTCACACACTCGCTGACACATTCTTCAGCCGGGCTCACTCAGACTGACTCACGGCTCGACCCAAGTCTAAGAGAGTCAAATGCAGTCTGTTGGCTTCAAATATAGCTTTTTCGATCATAATTCCAACACTGTTGTATGCCATTTTCTTACGTAATTACTAATCTACAATACGAATAGAAGTTATCAGCGATTTCAATCCAGAAATGACATTGTTACGCAGCATGCAACTCACATGAGATATTTTTGTCGAGAAATTCCCTTGGATGAACTTGCCGAGGGGTAAGTTGGAGTGCTTCCCCCCCCTCTCACACCTTCGATCAATGCATTGGGGTGACGCGGGAATACAAGAGCGTTGA